AGTTGGGGCACTGCTTTCTTTAGTTGCTGAGCTGTTGCTTGGTGTCCGTCGAACGGGTGGCGGGCCGCTACCCCCTTTCTCCCTCGCCAATCGCGCCGCAACGGCCTCCTTGTGATTTCTGTTTTTGAGATGGACCTCAAAGTTCTCGACGGTCATTGCTGGGCCGGGCGTGTAGAGTTTTCCAGGGCAGTCATTGCAGCGGATTCGGGGGAAGTATTTGTATGGTAGTTTTTGGCCGGGATGTGTTTGGGCTGCGTTGGGGATAGGGAGGTTTGTGTTTGGATCCACGGCTGTGTAGCGCATTGTTCCTTCAAAGGAGTCGTTGGGGTATTGTCTTTTAAGGCCTACAAGGCCTTGGATGAGCCACTGAGGAGGAGGGGGCTGAGAGTGTGCGTGGTTAGTGAGCCGTTAGGTTATGGTGAGGTAAATGTAGTAAGGGTATGCTTACCGGCTGGGTTCCTGGGGGTAATGGATGGGGTGCGTCAATGACACCATGGAACTGGGGAGGGTTGGTCGGCTTCTTTGTCGCGGAGCCAGGCTGGCCTTGGGATGGTGGAGGCCCCATAGATCCACGAGCACTTGATTTCCCAGTGGGAGTCGAGGATGGGCCACCGGGAGACCCCGTGTATTGTCTCGAGCCAGACTTGAGGTCGCGCATGAGGCGTCGTAACTTATCCGGATTTATCTTCAGTTTGACAATAAGGTTCTCGGGTGCCTCTGAGCTTTCCTCTCTATAGTTCTGCCGTCTGGCGGATGTTCTTGTTTCGTGAGAGTGGGATACGGTTGTCTCGGGCGTTGCTGAGCGGCCCATTTGTCCTCGTATGGCTGACTGGGCCATGGAAGAGGCTTGTCTCATACCTCTTGTTCTAGCAGTTCCCTGGTTGAGACGAGACATGGCTGGAGATCCGATGGAAGACTCTTCGCTCTCGGAGGACTCCGACTCTTCCAGACCATCACGGTGGCCGGTAGAGGTTCTGCCACGGCGACTGGTACTTGACCGTTTGAATAGTCGACTTTCTTCAATGGATGAGGCGCACCCTGGTATGACCGAGGAAACGATCATGGTCCGAATAGTTCGTTGACGGTCCTTGAGTTCAGGCAGGATCGGTCCTCCTCGCCTGTTGACTCGTTTCTGTCGTCGTTGCTCACGCGAGATGGAGCCTTCCGTCCGATCAAGTTCTGCTTCATTGAGCTCGTATAGGTAAGGGGTATATTCCTTGGCAACGTTAAAGGGGCGGAAAGTGGATGGAATAGGGGATGGTTGGAAGGCGTCTCTCAGGTCTGGGTCGTCGATTGGTCGGCCGTCGAAGGGGTATGAGACGACATACAGACTCTTGGTGAATAGTTGGACCTGTTCACGGATAGAGTGTGCGATTGCTGTGGTGAATTCTCCCGGCAAGGACAGGTCCTGGGACATTTGGATAGCAAAGCCTTCCGGTGAATTGTGGGGATCGTTCAGTTCCCATTCGAACTGGTCTATAAGCGTGTGTTGTCCGATGGTGATGTTCAGCTTTATGAGAACCCGGAGCTCATCGTTCTTGTAGGCGGAATAGGGCAAGTGTGGGTCCAGAGGCTCATCTTCGATAAAGACCTGGGGGTAGAAGTCTGCCAGCTGTTCATGAATGCTCTGAGTGATCTGCCGCACAAGCGGGCCACAAGATTCGAGCGGTAGACCGAGATCCTCCACCAGCTTCTCGGCAAAGACGTCGACGGGGGTGACGCGATCGTGGAGATTCCATGTAAAAGTATCCCGAACCTTGACCTTTTCCCAATCGATGTCGAGCCTGATCGGAACGAGATGTTCATCCTGGTCTGACTGGGTAAGCATGTCCTCTCGCGGTATGCGCAGCTCTTTGGCCTTCCGCCCACCTGGCCGCCTCCGGTTGGATGGGTAGAGAAGCTGTGGGTGCTGCGACCTAAGATCTGTCCTGGTGTTACCGTATCCTTCGTAGCCCGGGCCGAAGATGGCAGCTGGGTTGACCTGTCTTTCCTGGTTGAGGGCGAGATAGTAGTCTCTTTCCTGGAGCTTCTGGCGGAGCACTTCCTGGTGTGTATTCCGTGTAGCGGCAAGGGCGGAGTGACCCCATTCTCGGTATAGGTAGTCTTCCAAAAGCACCTTGTCTAGGGGTGTCTTGCGCGGCAGACCGTCATCCTCTATTACAGGAGAAGCAGCAGCAGCAGCAGCAGGCGCAGCAGCGGTAGACTGTATGATAGAGCCAGAACGAGACCGTTTTCGACTGACTCCGTTTCCGTTTGTGATGCTAGTTTCTTGCGGAGAAGGGGAGCTGGCACCACCTTGTCTAGTAGCAGACTCATCCCCATCCCCGTCACCACCACCACCACCACCACCTCCTCCTCCTCCTCCTCCTCCTCCACTACCACTCCCTCCTCCGCTTCCTTCTTCTCCGCCGCCCTCAGCAGCATGAGCTGGTCCGTCTGGAAGCTCTGAGGCGCCCAGTATAGCTCTAGCATTCTGTTTCCCTTCCAAGATACCAGCGGGTATGGCTCCGTTATGGCCACCAGGAGCTAGCTGCTGGTCCTGTGGCGACTCCGCCGGCTGCTCGCTGCTACCTGCGGCGGGAGCTACAGGCTGAGGCGAGTGTGAATGTGAATGCGAGCCCTGTAGCGCACCATCTGGCTGGCCGGTATTCTCCTCGGCTTCCGGCCACGGCATGGTCGATGGTTGCGATGTTGCTATGCTAACTTAAAAAAAAAGTGTCTGTAACAAAAAGAGTCGACCAAGGTCGTCGTCAGTGCCGCGTCCCAAAACACCACCAACACGAAGCTCCGGCGGAAGCAAGACGGTCAGGGGCCACAGTCTACGTGGAGCAGGGCATACCGGAATCGCGCAGTGAATGCGACTTGCAAGGAGGTAGCAGATTCAACTACTCGGTAAGAGGGAGAGAGAGAGTAGCGAGAGAGAGACGGTTCAGGTGTCTCCAACGCGGTCGAAACGAAGGCGACGAACGAAGCTGCAACCCAACGCCGGCCGTCTAGAGGCGAGAGGCGAGTAACTAGCAGTCAGGAATTGGCCTGCCCGTCAGCGAAGAGAACGACCGAGAATGCGATGCGAAAGATGGAATCATCGTCGGCTTCTTGCTTGTTTCTTCCTCGTTTCTTCGTCTTTTCTTCGTCCTTTTTGCTCCTTTGGCGTCGCTGATGAGTAATAATTGACTAAGCAGATGATGTAATCATGACATAAGCAGGCCAGCCCATAGAAGTCGAAGGACGAAAGAATGAAGATGAAGATGAAGATGAAGATACAAATATAATAAAAAGGATGAATTTTATGTATGGAAGAAAGCTATGTACTACTGGGAACTTTGTGGGCTATAGACTAGACTAGAGAGTGACGTCGGCGACGACAGCGCGGTGGTCGGAGTTGTAGATGCGGTTGTCGAACCTGTTAGGCATCACAGCATACCCATTGACAGCGAAAGGGATGGACGCAGAAGACGACTGAGGACCGACCATGACATAGTCGATGCGGCTGCCCTTGGTCTTGCCGTCGAATCCCGTGAAGGTGATCTCGTCTCCATAGTGCTGGGCGGCAGGGACCTTCTTGTAGGTGTCGACGATGCTGGAGCCCGGTTTGGTGAACTCCCGGTAGGCCTCCTGGCTCTCGGCGCTGTTGAAGTCGCCCGCGAGAAAGTTGCCCTTGACCTCGGGATGGCGAGCAAGGTACTTTTGGATGAGACTGAGAATCAGCTTGGCCGACTCGAAGCGGGACTTGCTGCCCTGGTCGTCGAGATGGGTGTTCATGGCGAGCACGGTGGTGTTGGAGGCCCTGTGGTTGAAGACGCCGATGGTGACGATGCGGATCGAGGCAGCGTCCCAGCCCTTGGACGGGACAGAGGGCGTCTCGGACAGCCAGACGGTCTCCTTCTCCTGCAACGTCCAGACGGCCGGGCGGTAGAAGATGGGCGAGTACTCTCCGGCCTGCTTGCCGTCGTCTCTGCCCACGCCGTAGAAGGCCCATTCATCGGCCTGGGCGTGCGGGCGAGAGTTGAGGCCGGCCAGGACGTCGGTGACCTGGTTGTGCAGCGCCTCCTGGAGACAGACGAAGCTCTCTGGGTTCAGCCGGCTGTGGTAGTCGAGCTCGTTGACGATGTGAGGCGCGCGGACGCTCCATGGCTGCTCGCCGGCCGAGGGCGAGGTTGTTGCATAGCGGATGTTATGCGTGAGGATGCGGAAGAGCAAGCTGCCTAGCTTCATCTTAACGAGAAGAGAAGAGAAGAGAGAGACGCAGATCAAGAGAGAGGCCGAAGAAGATGAATATGAAGCTGAAGCTGAAGATGAAGATGCGTACCTTGTCTCCCGTCTCCGTCTTCGTCGCCGTCTCGCATCTTTATCTGCGGCCGCCGCCGCTGCTGCCCCTTTCCATCGCGGGCTTCTGCTACGAGAATGCGGGTCATGCTGGTTCCATGTGCAAGACTGGTTGGCTCGTACAGCCTTCCGCGAGCTTCGGGTATCCTGGCGGGCTGGCCGTGGGAAGCTCCTTAGGACAGGGCAGGGAAGGCGACGTTGGAGCCGTGGCTGCTGGCTGGCTGGCTGGAGTCCCGGTTGTCGCTGAGAGTTCCTGGTCGCCAACAGTAGAGAGCATATATAGAGTGTAACTATGGAGGGCCACGGCCGGGGAAGGCTTGCATGGCAGCTGTGCAGAGTGACTTCGGCCGCCTAGCAAATCTGGCGAGCCGCGAAGTCACTGCGCATCGACGTCATGGCGCAAAAAAGCAACGAGCAGGATAAAGTGAGGGACACGAAAAAAGCCCACAACAACAACAAAAAATATCCCACCTTTTGGCTTTTCCCCCTCCACGCCGCCCGCAAGGAGAAAAGACGAGCAGACGAGCAGCCAGGACGCCAGGAAGACACGACTAGGACGTAACGGAAGGCCAGGACCGACGCAGACGAGCTACTGGGCCGTCTCTTGCGACCGACTTCTCGACTGTTGTTCCACTAGGTAGCCTGCTGTTGTTGCTGCTGTTAGAGTCGCCGCCATGGCTGAAAACACTGAGATCGGTAAGTAGAAGACGCACCCATAGAACTTGGGATGGGTAGACTGTCGTCTGTCTGTATTTGCTGTCTGGAATACTGTGCGTGATGTGATGTGATGTGGTGATGCTGACGGGCCAGACTACACGCTCAACAACCCCGATACTCTGACCAAGTACAAGACCGCCGCCCAGATCTCCCATAAAGTGCTCGAGGCCGTTTCAGGTGGGTTCCACGGGAAGACAGCTAGACTATAGAGAGACATTGACGTTGGATAGGATGGTGCGTTGAGGGAGCAAAGATCGTCGAGCTCTGCGAGAAGGGAGACAAGCTGCTCGACGAGGAGGTGGCCAAGGTCTACAAGGGCAAGAAGGTGTCGAAAGGTACTTATACCAACTATATTATACCCCGGATGCTAGACGAAAATAAAAAGAAAAAGAAAAAAAAGAAGAAGAAGAAGAAGAAGAAGAAGAAGACTGATGATGTAAAAAGGCATATCTCATCCAACGACGGTATCTCCAAGCTCGTATGTGACGCCATACACTCCGCTCACTTCAGATGCGGAAGAGGCTGCCACCGAGCTCAAGGCCAACGAGGTGGTCAAGATTCAGCTCGGTGCTCAGATCGATGGATTCGGGACCATAGTCTGCGATACCATCGTCGTGGGAGGAAAGGTCACCGGCCGTGAGGCAGACCTGCTGCTGGCCACCTACTACGCCAACGAGCTGCTGCTCAGGCTCATGGTTCCCCCGGGGCTCGTTGCTCAGGGCACAGAGGAAGAGAAGAAGAAGGCGGCTGCCGAGAAGCCACCAACACAGGCCAAGATATCCAGCTTGCTCGAGAAGGTAGCCAAGTCATACGACTGCACAGTCGTCGAGAACACCACCAGCTGGCTGTTCGAGCGCAACGAGATCGAGGGAAGCAAGAAGATCATTGTAGCCCCCGGAACGGGAGTCAAGGGCGAGGGAACACCCGAAGTGCAGGAAATCTGGGGTGTCGAGGTCGGGCTCAGCTTGGGATCCGGCAAGGTCAAGACTCTCGAGCATAGACCAACCTTGCACCGCCGTACCACAACTACATATATCCTCAAGAGACCCAGCTCCAGACAGACCCTGTCCGAGATTGTCAAGAAGTTTGGAACTTTCCCCTTCAGTTTGCGTCAGCTGGATGATGAGCGGGCCGGCAAGGTCGGCGTCGTCGAGTGTGTGCGAGGTGGCGTCGTGCGTCAGTACGAGCCAGCCGGAGAGGCAGACGGTTCTCCTGTCTCAAGACTTTTGACAACAGTTGGTATGTTATCTATATCTAAATACCTTTACATATATATGTATGCTTTTGTATGCTAACACAAGGACAGCCATTTTGAAAAACGGACTGAGCAGACTGGCTGCTCCACCACCACTTGACTTAGAGAAGGTCCAGTCAGACAAGAAGATCACCGATGAAGAAGTGCTGGCCATCCTGGAGCGCCCACTGGCCAAGTCCACGGGCTCCAAGGGCAAGAAGAACAAGAAGAAGAAGAAGAAGCCAGCCAAGAAGGCTGTCGAGGAGGAAGAAGACGACGAGGAAGAAGATTCCGACGAGGAGTAGACCGTCTCTCTCTCTCTATCCTTGTCTTCCTATCTTCTTCGACCATTTCTATCATTCTCTTCATCCAGGTCTACATGAAGTGCATGCAAGGGCGTCTCATTGTACCCTCAAACCCCCCTTTTTTTGCCTCCCCTTTTCTCCCTGTCTACCTTCTACTCCCTACCTGTCAGGCGCAAATTACCTTCTTACCTTCTGATATCAAACCAAACTCCCCTTTGACAGCCTGTCTGTCCTTGAACGAGGTCCCCCCATTTTCTGCTCCCCTCAAGGCCTTGTCCACGGAGAGAGCCCTATGTTTGTTTAACCGAACAGCTTAAACGCACAAATAGCAAATGAAGACCAATACCAAGTCAAATCAAAAGAATATCAAGTGAATATCAATATCTGTTCCAGTGTCCAGTGTCCAATGCCAAAAAAAAAATTACCATCATACAGATCAAACAGATCATACAGATCAGGCCCCCTTTGATACCAGGCTCAAGTGAGGCCACCCTCGACACCCTCAAGGCGCTTTCACCACCAAGCTGCTGTCCTGCTTGCCCTCACTTTGCCGCAGACTCTTCCAGAACAGTAGCGTATATCAAACTAGTAAACAATACATACAGCCCACATCACCGCGCCAACCACCCAGTAAAAAGCAGTCCCCCCTTTTCCTGCCCCTCTTCCCTTCTTCTGTCCTGTCCTCTACATCGTCATCGTCATCACCATCAGCCTGTCCTGTCCTGTCCTGTCCTCTAGATCAGCCTCTTCTACGTCTTTCGAACCTGATAGAACCCCCTGGTAAGTCTTCTTCTGCCTTTTTCTCCCGAATCACCACGCATTGCCTAATCAGGAAGTCCTGTTTGTTTTGATATAAATTTCTCTTCTTCCACTCCAACCTCAGCCTTCTTTCAAACTTCACCAGCTTCACACACTCGCTTCGTCTTCAACGTCTTTGTCTACTTGACTATCAACTGTTGACTCGCTTCCTTCAGCTTCTCCCATCTTTCTCAGCTTGTCCCTTGATAGCTTGACCTCTTCTCTGCCCTTTTCCACCAAGACGCGCTCTCGAGCTGCTTGTCTCTCTACAAAAAGAGCATCAACATCACCATTAGCCATCTTCTATCCGTCAAGACTGACCAGGACTGCTCTACTCTCTACCAAATCTACCATCTAAGAGCTCCATCCGCGTCTGTTCTTCCAAATTTCCTATCTGAGTTGAGATATCTATTCTCCTCTACACACTATCAAACATCTACTCTACAACGAGCATAGACAACAGTCTGTTCCATCTTCGCGTCTATCTTCTGTCAAGAGCCTATACTGTCATCCTCTTGCTACCTTCTCGTCGTCGATCTCCCTTCTCTACAGCTCTCTCAAATACTAAGAGAGACTAAGGTAAAGAGTCTACAGCCGGCTCTCTACATCCACCAATTCCACTCCTACCTCTCTATCTCGACTGCTACAGTCCTCTACCGTCGCCTACAGACGTCTACAAACATCCACAGAGCCCATACAGCCATCCTCTGTGCCATATCTTCCATCCTGCTGCCTCCAGGTGGCCAACCCCTGAGTCCACCGAGCAGCCCACCACCACAGCCTCGAGCTCGCCCGATCTCGAGATTCTGCATATTCCACCTTCTTCTACGCATCAAACTACGCCCTCCCACCGGCCTCGTGAGTCTGCTCCCGCCCGTTCGTGGTGGTCTCCTGTTCTGCGTTCTGTGTGGCTGACCGTCTCGTTGCTGCCGTTAGCTTCTTGTCCACCCGCAAGAAAGACGCAAAACCTCAACATCTCCAACCTCACCCGAGAAAAAAAAACCACCAGCCAACCACCGCCGGACTGCGCGGTTACCGACATCGCCAACTCCTCGAGTTTTGAGCTGCACAAGCCAACTCGACCGAGAATACCCTCAGTGAGTGATGGTCTCGCCCTGCATCTGCGTGCCCTGAAGCTAACCGCGTGCGCTACAGATCTTCTTGAGGGAAATAGCTTCTTCGACAAAAAGAAGCTGACGAGATGGCTCCTCGTCTCCGGTCCTCCTCGCGCACCACCTCGCGCAACAACACCAGGCCATCATCTCCTCACAGTGCGCCTGCTTCCCGGCCGTCCTCCTCTTCCACCTCGGACACCGCGCGGCCAAAGAAACAGCGCAAGACCGGCACCGAAACGCGTACGCCGGTGGACGTCGTGGAGGAGGAAGAGCGCCAGGCAGAGCGCAAACCAGCTGGCAGCCAGATGGACACCGTGCTGGAACAGCCGGAGCAGGCCGTCGGCCCCCAGATGGCGGTCCTGCCCGGCTCCCAGCAACTGGCTACGGCTGCTGGGCTGTCTCAGAGCCAGGACACCCAGCTTGCCGGCCAGTCGTCGTCTGTTCTGCCAGCTCCAGAACAGAGTACCGAGACCGAGCAACCAGTTCCCGCCGCAGCTCCGCGAGCGGATGAAGAGATATGGGTGGAACCACCCGTCGCCATTCCCAAAACCACCTGCCGCGGGTATGGCTTGAATAGGGGTGGCCCTTACGGCTCCATGCTGCCCCTAGGCACACGGCCTACCTTGGCCGCCCGCCGTCGAGTTGGCCTCGAGCCCCCTGCGCCCACCACTACCGCCAACAGAGTCACCAAGCGGAAGGGGGGCCGGGCCGCGAAGCCAAAACAGACAACGAAGAATGCCGACGAGCGGCCTAGCACCGCTTCTACTTCTGCTGAGGACGCCGCCGCCCTGTCTGATAGTTCCCGTGCGGAGGGAATCATTCAGGGAGTCCTCGAGCACGAAGAGCGTTCTCGCCAGCAGCCGCCAGCCATCAGAATTACACGATCGAGAGCTGCGGGCAAGGACAAGCTTGACGACTCGGCTGACAGCAGCCAGTCAGCCGGGCCAGCCGTCCCTTCATCGAGGAAGTACACCTCGGAGAAGCTCATGGACATCCTCGGATCAGCCATCTCGCGTGCGGAGGAGTCCCAGGACTCCAAAGTCGCAGGTGGCCTCCGTTGGATCAAGGAGGCTTCGGCCTCTGATCCATTTCTCCTTGGTGTCTTGGAGGGCGCCATCAACAGATCGGCGGACGCTCACCACCGATCCGCCTTCCAAGCCCTGATGAAGGACGCAGTCAAGCGCGCCCAAGCCCAACCAGAGCAGCAACAACAACTGGACGACAGTGCCGCTGCCACCGACATGGTACGCACTGCATCGGCGACTACCACGTCGTCGCTCTCCACGGCCAAATCCCTAGATGCCGATGCCTTCGCCCCTGTCGCTGCTGAGCCGGACTCAGGCAATGCCCCTACCACCACCTCAGCCAAGGGTAAGGGAGCGCGAGCTCCCCGATCCCGGGCTCGAGGCGGTAGACGGCGTGCCGGTCCCTCGAGAGCTAACGCGGCCCCCCCAACCAACTCGGCTTTCTCACGGAAGCGCAAGTTGGAGGAGGACCCGGAGTTCTCGGAAGAAGCTGTCGCTGCGAAGCGCAGAGCACTAGAGGAGGCCACCATCGCCGTGACCGACGAGGCCGAAGAAAGCAACGTCCGGACAGCAATGGAGCCACCACAGGGCTGGGTCTTCCCAGGTCCTTCTGTCCCATCAGACAGCGAGGGCCAGGGGTCGACCAGACCTGTACCAGTGGCTCCGGCGCCCAAGGACAGAGCCGCCAGAAAGCCTACCACCGTCGGCGGCTCATCATCCAAGAGAGTTCGCAAACCGAGGGTACAAGCGGACGAGATCGATAACATCGATTTCTGCCGTGCGTGCGGCGGCAACGGGCAGCTTCTATGCTGTGACGGCTGCGTGGATTCTTTCCACTTCACCTGCCTGCGACCTCCAGTCGACCCCAAATCTCCACCGGCAGGCCAATGGTTCTGTCCGGCTTGCGAGAAGAAGGGTCTTCTGGGGGGCCTCGCGGAGGTGATGGATAGCGTCCCGCAGACCGGCTTCTCGTTGCCGGCTGAGGTGCGCGAGTTCTTCGCGGAGGTTGAGACCGGCCCTGGAGGAGAGTATAGGGATGTGCGTGCACTTCCCGAGGGCAGCACTCGGGCCAAACCAGCCCGGGGCAGTCGTGGAGGAGTCGTTGAGGAGCAGGATCCATTGCGGATCCTCGACTCCCACGGCAAGGTCATCGCCTGTGTTCGATGTGGTCTGACCTCAGAGAACCGGCGACCGGTCATCCTCTGCGACTACTGCCCGTCCGCCTGGCATCTGGACTGTCTCGACCCGCCGATGGCGAATCCCCCTCGCCAGAAGCCGGGGAGTGACAAGCCCTACCATTACTGGAGATGCCCGAATCACCTGGAGGACGCCCTCGAACAACACTACCCGGGTAGGGTCCGACGACCCCGTAACCCCAAGTATGTGGACATCGAGGTCCTGCCCGATGCTGACGAGGAGAGCGTCATCAAAGAGCTGGACCAAGAGGCTGTCGTCCTCCGCGTGAGGGAGCGCGGACTCGTCCATGGGTTCATTACGCACGTTTTGAGCGAACGTGCGGCGGAGGAGGAAGCCAGAGCAAAAGAAGCTGGCGATGAAACTCGTACCCAGGGAGAGGGACAGGATGAGGTGCCGCCTGCGGTGCCTACCTTCTCTCAACTTGGGTCGGCCGAGCAGGATGCCGTGATGGGCCTGATGGACATCTCTGGCAACTCAGGGGCCAAGCGAGCGGAGCAGATCATGTCTGGCCTCATTGACGGAACGCCCGAAGGGTTCCGTGCCTGCTCCAATGAACTCGAGATTCTTCAGGCCGTTCAAGAATTGGTAGGAAAGCGCATCGCTGCGCTTACTCCGACCTCTGGATCTACCAACTGAATGCCGTCCTTTTAAGGCTTCAGCGTCCTGCACATCCTTTGCTTCGTCCCGTTGCATTGGATACTCCGACATTATACCCACCAATACAAGCAGGCTTGGTTTAGATCCAGTGTTTTGTTCCAGTGCTTCTTGCACCGGTGCCAATTCTACGAAATGTGCTTGAAGAATCCCTCGATCAATATGTGTATCTGATGGCTGTGTCTGCATTCTTCAACAGGTACGGACCAATCCTGTCAACACTCTCCAATTGGAATGATGTGCCTGTGTCTGTTTTGGCCTCGTCATACCTGCTGGCCCACTCATGTCTCTTCCTCTCTGCTCGCGGCAATACGCAGTCCATCGTGATTAACTTGGGTCTGCGTTGATAACCAGTTGCGGCTGTTACTGGTCGGGCTCCTCTGTTCGGTTAACTGTGAGTTGAGTGTGATGTTCCTGGTGTTGCATCCTTTACCCTTACCCTTACCCTTTACTGGCCTTACTGACCTTACTGGCTCTACTGACCTGACTTACCTTATCCTCTTGTGATTTTATATCCCCCCTCAAGATGTCACTTTTTTCCCTTACCGTTTGTTTTGTATGTTCTTGGTTGACTACAGGGTGAAGACAGGGAAGCCAAACAATTACCACTCTCATCTCATTCGACGAATCTTCAGCGGCATCAGCCAGCACCAGCCATCAGGGCAGCAAGTCAGCATTTCAAACACCTTCAGCAAAGCATAACCAGCAAAGCATAACCAAAATCCTCTGGAATATCTGCAATATCTGCGCCATCTGCAATATCACCAGCATTATCAAGTCACCAAGTCACCAATCCAGCATAACAGCGTCAAGTTCTCTGTTGCCTTTCAAAAAAGGGTCAAAAAGCCAATTTTAAGCCCTTGTTCATCTCCATGCTGCCCACATACCCACTAAAAAACAAAAAAAACACAGGCATGGAGCTCTCAACTTGGTGCCCGTTATAGCATCTTTCGACTTCCTCAAGTGACAGGACGTATGATTCCTCCCAGAACCATGACCGTCGGTCTTGCATGGCCTCCTGCTCCTGAGGTCGATAACAGAAAGCAAAAAAGAGCGCAAAAAAAAAACCTTTTCTGTCAAACTCCCATCAACCCACATATACCTACATATGGGATCAGGGCAGAGAATCCACCTAGCTCAGCTTAACGAACAGGCAATAATATACCCATGAGATTGGCCTCAAGTGCTTGTTCACTGATACCCAACATGCTATTACCACAAGTGACTCCAACAATAAATAACAACAACACTGTCGATTATCGGCTACAACCCATTGTATATGGGCTATCTACAAATCACAATCTGACTGCGAGCCATTACTGCCATACCATACACACTTCCACCGTCAAATAACTACCGCTTGTCATACCAACCTCTCGAAACCGATCCACACTTGGCTTCCCTGTCTTCACCCCATTTTCTTCCGGAACTGAAATATTAGATTGAGCGTCATTGCATGGGCCTACCAAAAAGGCGGAGTTTATGGGACTTTGTTTGTTTTCCTTGATCAAAGCATGCATAGCATTGCTCTTTACCTTGTTTTTTTTTTCTTTCTCATGGGACTTTGAAGCGAGATAAAAGATGGCTACGGCGTTGTTTGTTTTTTCCGGGTTTCTTGCTAATCGTTTGTGCCTTTATACCCAATTCTTTTTTACGCTCTCTCTTACAACATGTCCACTCTATCAGCGTATTCCCACTCTGCCGCTGATTATAGCGAGTTTGGGGTCTACATTCCGCCACACCTATCCCAACGGACATTGTTTGCTTTGATTTGATTTGCTTGTACTTTGCCTCTTCACTTCTATTGTCCCATTATCCTGTATATTATTTTTTACCAAAAGTATCAATATGACAGCGAGCTAAAGCTTGCTACATCTCACGCCACACATTTTGTTTTTTCTTGTTTGTTTGGTTTTTTGTTTCTTCGTAGGCCGTAGACAGTAGGCAGGTAGACACGTAGTGATTAGGTAGGTAGTTAGTAGAATAGTATCCAGTAGGTAGAATAGTATCCAGTAGATAATACAGATTACTCCAAATATTGAGTCTTCAAAGTATTAAAACCTCTCGTAGACTTATCATTGTAGGATGTAGCATCAAGGACATCTCCCTCCCTTGTATCATCCGTTTAACACAAAGTGATATTTGAGCAGTAGCTGGTTATTTAGTATACAGGCCTAAAGGCAGTGGGAACGAAAATCAACATCGTAAAACAATACGCCTAAGGCGATGAATTGAACAAATAGATGGAATATGGAAAAAATGCTATGAAAAGAAACAAATTGTAGAAACCCGAGCAGAAAAGAAGCAGACAAGCAAGCTACGTAAATAAATGCAAGACATTATATGGTTGGTTGATTTGTTGTTTCCTTATCTATAGGAACTTCTTCGGCATGCTGGCTCTACGTTTCTTGTAGAGGATGTAAGCAACCGCGAGCAGAAGCTGGACGGCAATTATAAGGATAATAAAGAAGCCCATGCGTGGTGCGGCGGAGATGATACCTATATTGCATCATGTGTTAGTCCAGATTTGAGCGTCTGTGTCAAGAAAGACGTATACGTACGGTGAGATGAATCGTGGAGGGTATCCAACAGGCCGGAGTGAGAGGTATGCAACAGGTCTTGCAGTTGTCTGAACTGGTGATGGTAATCCTTGCCCTCTATTTCCCTCTGCATAGACTCGACCATTCGCTCTACGCGCTGAAGTCTCTGGTCCACGCTGCTCACTTGGTCGCGGTGAGAAACCATGCGGATGATCTCCTTCAGCCTATCATCGCTGGTAGCTGATAGAGCGTGTAGTTCATCAATTAGCTTGTTGGTTGTACTAGAGATGGCTTGGAGCCGATCCTGGAGATCCTTGATATCCACGTTGCTACCAGTTGGTGCCTTATCATAGTTGGCCTGGCCAGGTCTTTGCTGGGACTCGTGGCTTCTCTCCTGATGTTGGTTGCTGCCAGGATAGGTGGTAGCTACAAAGCGGAAGGCTTCAAATGAGTCAGGGCTCTCAGCCGAGGCGGCTGTGATACCAAAAACGTTCCCTGGGGGAATGAAGACCTATGGAGTATATTTAGTTTCAATGTTTCCCTATATTTAGCAGGGGAGCTTTTTACCTTTGGGGTTTTGAAGCAAGTATTTCCATCTATCAAGACCTCAAACTCCCGACTCGACTGCTTGACCTGTAGCTTTGATGGACGGCCTAGGTTGCGGTATTGATAATCACAGTGACCGAAAGCAAGAGCATCCACATTACCACTGCCTTTGTAGTCTGTGGTTCCGTCGTTTAAAAAGCCTCGAATGCCGGCCTAGATACCCATCATGTTAGACCGAGGCTAGAACTAGATGCGCAAAAGTAGCAAAAGTAAGCTGGACTCACCCTGCCTCCGTGCGTATCAATTGTGATAGCGAGACCATCAAATTTTCCAACAGTATATATGCTCGACGTCCCAACAGCCGAGGCCTGCTTGACGTACCAAAGCTGTATATTACCTCCGCTTCGCTCCTCTCCGTTTGCTCTGAAATCGAAGGCCACGTGCCATTCTGAGTCAGGTATTCTGTGTATCCAGTCAGCCCTCCTATTCGACATAAAGCCCCCATAATAATCGCAGGTAGATCCTACATGTCTTCAGCCCATAATGCACCTCTTTTGTTGCCGGGGTAAGGGGGTGTCAAGATAATTCTATCAGACAACTAGACGAGTAATTAACCTGTTAGCACGCTATGTCCGGAACGTCGGCGGAGGATAATGGTAAAGAGAAAATAGTACCATTTCTGGGAGGAAACCTGAGCCAGATACGGTCCATCCCGGCAGTCCATTACCAACATGGGACATTCTATATGAATCCGGCGAACCATTAGCCACTGGAAGCCACTACTTGCGATCAAGAGGCTCATGCTGTCCCAAACGCACCTTCGTCCATTTCCAAAGCTAGATCTCTCCATGACTGAGCTTGCTTGAGAAAGCGTAGCGGATATCAAAGCCCATAAGACGGTTTTACCGGCGCTCAGTGATTGTACCATTGTGACGAGCTATTGAAGTATAGAACTGGCTGTCGAATGTCAAATTGGCAGTAGCCTGCCACAGAACGAAAGGCGAAAAGCAAGGAGTCTCCTTCTATAGATGTATTCTTTCGATTTATGCGGTATATCAGGGACGTGAGGTCGTATCGTCTTGTGTTCCAGCAGCTGCTTTGCCCTTGTGCGGAACTAATAAAGCCTTTCCCCGCGGGTAACTAGTCAATCTAGAATGGTGTAAAAGAGCTGCCGGTCCCAATCGCTTCACAGAGCTATCTCAGCCGCCGAGAGCTGTCTATAAGTCAAAAGAATAAAAGAAAACAAAGGAATTGCTCGTTCTTCTGCGACTTTGGCCTCCCGTTGAGGCATCGCCGGCGCCGTTTGTTGTTTATTTGTCGAGCCAGCTTGTCCTTTTTGGCGCTGCCGCGGTGCAAACCACGCAAACAAGCCAAGATAGGCAATTTATCGCCCATCATCTTCGCTGACCCTCTCCCTCATAGCTGCCTTTCGCCGTAGAAGTTGCAGTGTATAAGTCTGTAGGAGATATTCATGGGTATGACAGGCGATGATGAGCCATTGGTGTATCTTATCGTGTCGTACAGCAGTATGAAAGGAAGTTGGCCGCCGACGGGGAAAAGGGGTCGCGCTTGTAGAATAACTATTTTAGTTATTTAGTTCCGACTTCACACTGAAAATCAACATAAAAAGCCCAACGCCAACCATCACCACCAGATATCAACAGAATCCGTTTCGTCGCCTGGCTGCAGAACCAGCGTGAGCCGAAGAAGACGGGTTGGCCATGACTAGCTGACCATGGCTGACTTCTATCCTTCACTGACTCAATGTGCCCTTGTGGCTGCTGCGTTTAAGATCCTCTTGTTCCCGGCATAGTATGTCGCATTTTATCCCCCCGGTTCAGTGCATTCGCTGCCACATGAGAAGCGCAGAGACAGAAAATGGAATGATGCTGACAATCTGGGTTGAAAGCAAATCTACCGACTTTGAAGTTCATCGCAACTGGCTTGCGATCACTCATTCTCTCCCGGTCAAGGAATGGTACTATGAGGTATGTAAGTCGACAACCAAATTCAAAGCAGTCTTGCTAATGAAAGACAATCATGTATAGAAAACATCAGAATGGACTCTGGATTATCCTCCGTTCTTTGCTGGGCTAGAATGGTGTCTATCCCAGATTGCTGCATTCATGGACCCGGACATGCTCAAGGTGCAGAACCAAAACTATGACTCCTGGCAAACGGTGTACTTCCAGCGGAGCTCAGTTATTATTCTTGAGCTGATGCTTGTTTATGCTTTGAATAGGTGAGACTTCGAATTTTATTAATATCTGCTTATGAAGTGTCGCTGACAGGGATTACTTTGCTATCGTGGTGAAGATATATCAAGTCTGCACCGAACCAAGCGGCTAAGGAACTGGCCCATGCCGCCAGCTTGTCAATTCTACTCTCTCCTGGCCTGCTGATCATTGACCATGTTCATTTCCAGTACAACGGGTTCTTGTATGGGATCCTTATCCTTTCAATTGTCCTGGCACGAAGGCAGTCTACCCTGTTATACAGTGGCATTACCTTCGCTATTCTACTCTGTTTTAAGCACATATACCTCTACCTATCGCTTGCATGGTTTGTTTATCTTCTGCGGGCCTATTGCCTCCACCCAAGCTCCATGTTCAGGCCTCAATTTGGCAACATCGCGAAGCTCGGAGTGGGGGTTGTGGGCGTTTTTACTGCAGCGTTTGGACCGTTTGCAAAATGGGGTCAGCTTTCGCAACTTAAGGACAGGCTTTTTCCATTTTCCAGAGGCCTATGCCATGCCTATTGGGCACCAAATATCTGGGCAATGTACTCTTTTCTAGATCGAGTACTTATACTTGGTATGACTGTTTAATCTTGTTACCCCCAACCTTTCCCCCATTACTAACAGACCGTAGTTGCGCCTAGACTGGGCCTACCTGTCAAGACCAGCGCTTTGGCCAGCGTGACCAGAGGGCTAGTTGGAGACACTGCCTTTGCTGTCCTTCCAGAGATTACAAAAGAATATACCTTTGGGCTGACGTTTGTATTCCAAGCTGTGAGTTTTCCACCCATGAGCCAACTTAAATATATAACTACGAAAGAGGACTACGAGACTAACTACGTCCAGCTATGCCTTGTGAAGTTGTGGTTCCAACCTGACTGGGACACCTTTGTGGGGGCAGTGACCAACTGTGCATTTGCAGCCTTTCTCTTTGGCTGGCACGTCCATGAGAAGGCTGTTCTCCTGATCATCATCCCGTTTAGCCTGCTGGCTCTCAAGGACCGGCGATACCTAGGAGCCTTCCGCCCACTCGCAGTGGCTGGCCACGTCTCCCTGTTCCCACTTTTATTCACCGCTGCCGAGTTCCCCGTCAAAACCGTCTACACCATCCTCTGGCTGGTACTGTTTCTTTTCGTCTTTGGCCGCCTTGCACCAGCCCCATTGAGACCTCGAGTATTCTTACTTGATCGATTTTCGCTGCTCTACGACACTGTATCGATACCTCTGATTGTCTATTGCTCCCTGGTACATGGAATGGTGTTTGGAAAGCGATATGAGTTCCTTCCGCTAATGTTTACCAGTGCATATGCTGCTGTGGGCGTCTTGGGGAGCTGGGCAGGGTTCATGGTAGTCTATTTCACTACTTAGGCAGCCAATATCCAAAAAAAGTAAACCGATAGAGATATCTGATCTAGAGAATTAAGCATCCCAGTGCGAATATAATCCACACTATGCTGTTCCCGAAAGGGGAGCCTAAGTGTTGTAGGGGTATAATTGCCTTTACTAAATTAACTCACCTTTAAGAATGAAATAGAAAAAGGAATTAATATACCCTGATTGCGTGGAATCTTCCGAGCAGAATGAGTGGTTATACGGGGTGGTTCTGGAGGCTGGGGGCGGGTGGACGGGGGAAAGTAGCTGAGGGCAGGCCCTAATCCCCCCCCTAGGCAGAGATCTCGGCAAACCCGCAGGAGGCAAAAACGGCGCAAGGCGAGGGAGAAAGGCCCCATCGCCATCACCATGCTGCCGGAAAACGTAGCTACACATTATGCGTCGTTCCGGTGGCGAGAGGAGGGTCTACATGCATGCATCACTCTGTGGCCCTCTTTCTCCTTCTTTTCCTCATTAAGCCGATGAAGTATAGGCTTTTCGGCTTCAGATGCCAAGTCTGCATGTTCACCAACTACAACCCATAGCCAAAGGATGGGCAGATCAGATAGTGCATAGCTGTAGCCGTAGCTGTACATAAGCTAATGAAGGACCGATAACTATAGTAGAGACAGCTGGATAGCCGGATGCCGCGAGCTGAGTGTCCGTGTCTAGATGTTGATATCAGGGCGTGGTTGGCTATAAATAACACCCGAATAATACACTCGGTATAGATCGTGAAGACTCGACGGTATCTCTGCATGAAAGCAGTAACAAAAACCACTTCGGCTGCCATTGAACCGCCTCGTCGGCATCACGCATGCCCAGCATCGTCTCTCTGCATCCTCTCATCCCCTTCCGGAGTGTCTTGCCTGTCTATCTGCCGCCAGGGACCCCCCCCTTCTGTCGTCAGTCCCCGGGCCTCTGAGCTCCGCTGAAACCAGGAGCCGTCGATCAGGAGCGCACCTCGACAAGCTCCCACAGCTGTCTCAACAGCTCCATCCTGCCTCTACCACGTCTACCGCCGGCAATGAGCACGCCGTGTAGGGCCCCGTCGCTGCGTCGCCTGCCCGTCGCTGGCGCTGCTCGCGGTGCTGGAGCGAGCTAACTGAACTAAATAATAACTAAGAGGAAGTTCCCGCACTGACCAGGCTAAGGTTTCCCTCCGCCGCCTTCCCTTTTCCCTCCTTCGCTTTTTCTGCCGCTTTTTTTTTTTTTTCCCTCTCTTCGTCTTCTTTCTTCTTACAACTACGCAACCTCAACCTCAACCTCAACGAAGACCACCGCCGCCGCCGACCAGGACAGCACCCTTCGCGCGTACCGTCCGGTCTTTCTCGCTCTCTCTCCGGCATACCAGCTGCGTCTAGATCAGCTATCAAGAGGCCTTTACCTTTTTTTCCTTTTTGGCGGACATCCAGGGCATGCAAGGCGTCAGGAACGACGCGTCCACCACCTAATTCTACCGTGAGCAGAAGCCATTTTCCTTCTCAAGTCTGCCTAGAGCCGGTTTTATACGCGTTGAGATATCCGTGCCTGGGCTAGACTTTCTTGAATTCACTCTTTGCCCGGGCCGAAGCTGTGTCTCCAATTCAATATGGACTTTATAACTCACTGACTTGCGCCAGAATATCACCACAAGATAATAAGCGGATATCCTGCTGCTTTCTCGACACAGTTACCTCCTCTCCTTACCTTTTTACAGGACAAACCACGTACACGCCCTGCTATTCGCAAAGCTTCTAGGATTTTGCACATGATTGGTTACTACCCGCTTTTCGCGTTTCTGAGCTTGCTCCGGTCTTTGGAAGGGGTTGTGTGTTCTTGATCGCATGTGTTTTCGCTTTTTGAACCTTTTCCCAATATATTCTGGTATCTGAAGCTGAAGATGGTATGTCCTAGGTCAAGTCTATATTGATAGTACCTTTTTTTTTTTTTTTTTTTTTTTTTTTTTTTTTTTTTTTTTTTTTTTTTTTTTTTTTTTTTTTTTTTTCCCATTATGAATATAACTAACGGACTTACTTTAGGTACTGGTTTAAGCGGAAGCCGGTGCAATACCTGCCCAAACCCACAATTGACGATGATAACTCCGAGGTACGCAGCTTCCCTATACACTGCTGTTCCTTGTGTTGTGGACCTGGTCGCATATTAACAGGTGTATAGGTCTGGGTTATCCCGGAAACGAATGAAGTGTTTACCAACTATGATCACTTCCTGCAGCGGTGGGTGCTTTGTACTGCCACTATTTGTTACCTATTTCAAAAGAATGGTTTGCTAATAACTCGATGTTTAGAATGAACTTCTATAAACAGGTAATATCTATTTCAATTTATTTTAGATTCACAACCGTTTGACCTTCCGCTAAATTCAAATTCAGAGGCGATTCATTTGCGAAATAACTGGCCACTCTTCCCTGACATTCTTCGAGGCACTAACGAGCGAGGTATGGGGGAATCCCTCGGCCAGGGACAAAAAATTGCGGGGTACAGCCAGCTTATCGAATACTTTTTCGCAGACCGAAGGATCAAGAGAAGTCAACAGTGCATTCCCAGAATCCTTAAAGGAGCCTGTATTGCGCAGGGTTCAATTCTCTACCATCTCGCGCATAGATAGTCTTGGTGTGTATTTCGTTGTATTCCTGATCTATGAGTTATTATTTGCTAACTAGCTTTCATTACATAGTGGATCAGGTATTCGAGGTTAGTAATGTTGTGTCCTATCTCCATGATAGCAACTGACATTAGGTAGGACTTCAAGCAAGATTTCTATCCTGGAGAGCGCGTAACAGTTCTTCTATCCAACGGGTCGCGAATACACGGAATAGTCAGGGAGAAGGCAAAGTTTCCTGAGGTTATGCATGAAGGCAGGGTTGAGCGCCGTGCAAGCTCCCGCTACCTGGTCAAACTCACAAATCGCAATAACGAAGAGGCCCTCGTTGATGACGAACACCTTGTCCGTGACAGGAAAGTATTCACTAAACAGATGTTGCGTTCCTTTATCAAGAATACAGTCACACGAGAGTCATGGAGCGGTGCCCCCTGGTTAGTCAAGCCTCAAATTGCCGAACATTTCCATATCGACACCGAAGTCCCCAAACACCTGCAGTATGGCAACAAAGCTGGCAAAAAGGCCAATGTATCCGCAGAAAAGGAAGAAGATGAGGCCATGTTTGGCTTTTTCGCTTCTCAGAGTCGGCCGATAAATTCAAGAAATAAGGGCCAAAAGGCAAAGTCAGCCCACGAACTCGCCAAGGCTAAGGAAGAACAGTACTTAGCATATCGACGAGCACTTAACGGCAACCCATCTTTCAGGGTAGACAAGAAGGGCGTCAACAAAGATGTTATCCCCCCTCCTGACCCCCACGAGAACTCTTTCAATGACCTCTCAATTGTCATCAAACAGAAATCTCCCAGCCCATTACCGCCACCAATTAAATACCCCATTGAGGATTTAGACTTACCACCCACAAGTGACCGTCCGCCTCGGCCAGCTTTGAAATTTTTGAGTGAAGATGAGGCCCGTGAGGAGGGATCCGGCATAAAGATGAGTTCTATTGGAGCTCTACTCGAAACCTGGAACACTTTGAATGTCTATTGTGAAGTTTTCCAGTTGGACTCCTTTACCTTTGATGATTTCGTGGAGGCAATTCAATTTTCCTCAGATGACATGGATTGTGAGCTACTAGTAGAGATTCATTGCGCCGTGTTGAAGACGCTGGTCAATGCTGAATCAGATCAAGATGGAGCTGTTCAAATCTCTCTTCCAGCCCTACCAGAAGAAGAATCCGAAGCGGAGGAAGAGGAAAGCGAGCCCGAACCTGAGCCGGAGCCGGAACCCCCAAGACGAACTACTAGAAGCAGCTTTGCAAAGGCGCAAGCGGAACTTGCTGAAATGGAACAGCAGAAACCTCCTGAAACAGAAGCTGCGGAAGTCAAAAAGCATTGTGCGGCTGATATGTTTTTGGAATACGACTGGATCGATCGCTTGCGAAAACGAGACTTCAAAAATGGCGGCTGGGAAATGATCCTTGTTGGTTTGCTAAACCGGTTATCCTTAAAACCCAGGCTTAAGGAGGCTTGCGAGGAGATATTGGTTCATATGGCACCTTTGGATGCAGATCCAACTCAAGAAACAGCCCGAATTCAATATTCGACTTTGGATGTCAACCTCCGCATTCAGATCCTGCAGATAATTTGTATGCTGACTGTTGAAACAAGAGCGGTGAAAAATTATATGGAGGAATGCAGTAACCAGATGACCGAATTCCGCAAGGAAAAAATCGAACTTCAACGAGCTCGAAAAGTTGTGTAAGTGATCCTTTAATTCACATATCACTAGAACATTGCTAATGATACCAATAATGAACAGCCTTGAAGAAATTAGACTTCTCCATGAAGAGCGAAAGCAGCTTGAGCCTGAGCAGCGGGATACTCCAACTCAGCAGGATGAGGAGATGCTGGACGCCCAGATTGACGCTACGGACGACACTGAAAGCGCTGCGACAGATTCAGATGAACCGGCTGGTCCCTCTCTGAGAGGAGGAGTTGACAGAACCATGGAACGTAAGCGGAAACAGGAAGCTGAAAAAGAAAGAAAAGAACAGGCTACCAAGCAACCGAAAGGCTCAAAGCAGTACCAGAGAGTCCTAAAGAAAATGGAGGATGAAAAGAGCAAGGTTGCTTCCATTGAAAGTGAGATTGCAGTTCTAGATAACGACCTGAGAGAAGCAGATTGCCCGCGGACCAGAGTCTTGGGCAAAGACCGCTTCTGGAATCGCTATTATTGGTTTGAGAGGAATGGGATGCCCTACGAGGGCTTGCCTGATAGCTCTACTGCCTCAGCAAACTATGCCAATGGTCGTCTCTGGGTACAAGGTCCCGACGAAATGGAGCGGGAAGGCTTTATCGATGTTCCCGAACAAGTGAGCCAAGAATACAAGCAGCGTTTCGGAACAACCGTTGCGAAACGGAAACAGGCTGAAGAAGGGTCTTCCGGTGTTTCTTCTGCTCAAGAATGGGGTTACTATGATACCCCCGAAGACCTGGATAAACTGATGGAATGGCTCGATACCCGCGGTGTGAGGGAGCTCAAACTTCACAAGGAATTAAAGCTTCAGCGCAACCATATTGCGAAATATATGGAAAACCGAACGGCTTACCTCGCGGAGAAAAATGCCCCTGCAGAAGAGTCAAGTGATCAACCAGCCATGCGCATGTCAACACGAACCAAGGGGCAGGCCACCGACCAGAAACGTGGATGTCTTAAATGGCGAAATCTGACAGCTTTGAAGGAAATTGGTCATTTGCATGTTGAATCAGCGCGGCCGACGAAACGCGCTAAGAAAGCTGCCGCTACCGAATCCGCAAAGGAAACCAGAATGACTAATCGCCAGGGCAGGCCTCTTGGTCGACAGGGAACGAGATAAACTATCTCTCCCAAAACTTCCTTTCTCTATTCATCTATCCCCCCACCCATACCGTCACTTTTTATTTCGACCATCATCGCCCATAACACGTCTCTTAACTGGAGCATTGTTTCATTTGGATATTATCTTTATTTTGCATCACTAGACTTTCACAACCACGGGGATTTAACGACTTACGACATATCTATTGGCGAGGGTGGCTTGCGAAAAGAGATATATATATTGCTTTCTGTTCTTTTTGTTCCTCGGACTGACTGCACTTAGCGACATTTTGGTGTGGGCCGGAGCACGCACTGTTTTTCCCTCTCGTCTCTCATATTGGAAGAATATTACCGTGTATATTGTCTATCCTGGTAGGAGTAGTCAGGTGTATCTATCAGAACTGATCTGGCGGAATATCAGTTGGCGTCTGCCTGTTAACAATAGAATTTTTGTACTTTTGCTGCTTTCTTTTTGATTCAAATCCATTCCATGGAATTCCACCTGCAATAGTATCAAGGGGCTTCGGCTTTTCGGCACCGACTTCCGACCATGTTTCACACACGTGACTCTTTACCGCGGCTCGTCGGGAGTTTCTCAGCGACGCTAAACCATATCCGGATAGCCGCTCACGTGCCACGGCCTTTGCGCCGCAAGCACCCGCCAATCCCAGGAGAGAGCAAAGAGAAAGCGAAACGAAAAGAAACTCATGACGTTACGAACGGACACAATAAAATAACCGTCCGCGCTTTCTTCCCAGGCAGTCCTCCGTTTCCTTCCTCTTTCGTTTATACGACAGTGGCCCTGGTTTATTCCCCTGTCTTCTCGATATCGGTCACTCTGTGTTTACCAGCCTATATGATGTCCGCCGGAGACTCTTTAAATTCTTTCTTTTAACTAACTAGCGTCCCGCATTGTATTTTTTGTCGAAGAACGCGGAGTGAGCGTGGGAAGGGGTGCCACGGGGAGGCTACCCCGGTATCCAGAAAATGATGGCACATAGCCCTCTAGCGACAACGACAAGCAGCTCTCGCTCGACAGGCGCCGAGAGAGACCATGATCTTACGTCGAGTCGCGGGATACATTCAGACGCAGCAACAGGCAAACAAATGGCCATGACGAGTTCTAGCACGGTCGCGGTCAAACCGGTAGACAAGAGGAGTTGGGACTACCTCGTCCGGAGTGGTTTGGCTGGTGGGTTGGCAGGATGTGCTGTGAGTATAGCATTCTTATTTGCCGCATCAATCGCAAAGTTCTAATGATGTGATTTCTATAAAAACAGGCAAAAACGATCGTTGGACCTTTGGATCGGGTCAAAATCCTTTTTCAGACATCAAACCCCCAATTCGCAAAATATTCAAACAGTTGGTTCGGCGTAGCTTCAGCCATGAAAACCATTAATAACACTGAAGGTGTTCGCGGCCTATTCCGAGGTCATTCAGCTACTTTACTTCGAATATTTCCCTACGCTGCTATTAAATTCATAGCATACGAACAGATCCGTGCTGTCGTAATACCCTCCAAAAGACACGAAACTCCCTTTCGCCGACTGATTAGCGGTAGTTTAGCCGGCATCACATCCGTATTTTTCACATATCCGTTAGAACTTATTAGAGTGCGGCTGGCATTTGAAACAAAGCAAGGATCCAAGTCATCATTGCGAAATATTTTCAGCCAAATTTATAATGAAGGAAGCATCGTTGCTAGTTCCGCTGATGGAGCTGCTTCTGCATCTACTGCGGCTGCTGTTGTGGAGAAGGTCAAGCCTCGATATGGACTTGTGAACTTTTACCGCGGATTCTCTCCCACAATGCTCGGGATGTTGCCGTACGCAGGCATGTCTTTCCTTACACACGACACTGTTGGTGATTGGCTTCGTCATCCCAGTATAGAGAAATACACCACCATCCCACACTCTGGCAAACATACGCCGCAAGGCCAGGAACAAGCGCGCTCTCATAGACCACAGTTAACAGCCACCGCTGAACTGTTCTCTGGCGCTGTTGCAGGACTCATATCCCAAACATCCTCATATCCATTGGAGGTTATCCGACGACGAATGCAAGTTGGAGGTGCAGTTGGTGACGGGCATGTTCTCGGTATACGAGAGACGGCTCAGAAGATATTCCTTGAACGTGGATTCAAAGGTTTCTTTGTTGGTTTGACAATCGGGTACATGAAAGTCATACCAATGGTGGCTACGAGTTTCTTCGTCTATGAGAGAGGAAAATGGTGGCTTGGTATATAGCCATGGCCCTATTTCCATCTAACAAGCTATTGAACATCGGCCTTGATACCTCTTCCATACTTTTTAAATTTTCACTGCTTCCAATCTTTGGTTTATGATTAAAGGCATGTTCGAGTGTGGCGTTTATTGGCATGCATTTCCATCTTCTGGAGTAGATTTTGATTCCCTTCCTGCTGAATAGCAGCAAGCTCTGATGCCTTCTTTTGTGTTTTCTCTTGTCTACATCTATATACAGGCATTTTGTCTAACTACTGTGTATATAAACTCATACATATTGCATAGAAATTTACCTAGTATCATCGGATCTATAATTTCGAGTTGACTCCCGAATGAGTATTTAATAGGCTGCGGAAAGGCAGCATTATTGATTTAGATGTAATGATGATGCGTAATATATTAAAATATTTATACAAGAACCCTCCTCAGTCCATCTGTTCCTCCTAGAACTCTTCGGCCGGTAATTGGACATCGTCCTTTCCCATTTTCCCATCTCCCTTCCCTACTAGTTGAATCCTTCCCACTCTTTTCATTCTCGTCATCTTTATCATCGTCTTCCCACGCAGCACCATTACCGGCTCCGTTCATAAAGTCAATTTGGCGGTCATGTTCACCATTCAGCCATCTGAATATACAGGTATAGCAGTAAACATATCCGGTCTGACAAGCAGTAGGATTAACAAGTGGATTCAGGCATATTGGGCATGGCGTCTGAGAGGTGTCTGGATCAACTGGGGGTATTGGGACAGTAAAGATTGGCAGTAGAGTTATAGACGATATTGGAGACTTTGTACGACATTGTTTCGGTCTATCTGCCTCTGCCAATGTCGACTTCTCACTTTTAACATCTGTTGCAGTGGATTTTGAGGGTATTCCAGTTACCACTGGAGCGGGAAGTTCAATGGACTGGGTAGCTTGTTTGGCTAGTTGTCTCGAAAAGTCGCTTGCATGCCACCATTCAAGGAATTTGAGAGCAAAAATTGACGCCGGCAAGAGAACTTTAAGGGATCCTAGTATATGAGGGTATATGGCTTGGGGATTTAGAAGGCTTAAAGCACTCGGCCGTGATCGTGATCTTGACGCGCCTGTATGGGGTGTGTTGGCTGCCGTTGCCATTGCAATCGCTTTGTGATCTGCTGGACTCAATCGCCTGATTCTCGTTCCTATCAGCCATAAGAATGGAGACGAATACTTGGTGTTATCAAAAAGGTAGGCTAAATTGAAGGCCAGTATTGAAAAGTAGTAGGCCCCATTTATCGAAGGGTAAACGTTCCGCAAAAACCATTTGTAATAGAATAATAATCGTTGCCTCACTGTTGGGTTATGAGGGAGCTCATCTGATGGATGGTATCGAGGGCCTCCCCCAATTCCTGAGACAAGAGCTGCATGCGGAGCAGCATGGATATCATATCCCTCATCAAGTTTGCGTTTCAAATACGGAATGCCGACCATAACCACCAGATTTCGCCATATATCCGAGTCGCGCAATTTTAGTGTCTCTCGAACAGGACCTCCTGCTCCAAGTTGAGCTCGGGGTACCTCTCCATCTCTCAATGCTAGAACGCGCTCCCGTTTTAAAGAGTAGAAGTTCTCCGTAAACGAGCCACCGAAGTTTCGCAGGTAATATCCTTCGACAAGAAGCGACACTAGGGCGTACAGTTCATCGTAGGAATTTAGTATCCGGAGAAGATAGCGGGGATGTCTGTGAGTAGCTACCGCAAGGAGGTAGCGGAGTGAAGGGGGAAGAAGGGACGAGAGCTGTTGTTCAGAGAGGAGTTCTGTTCAATACAGTTAGCTAGGGGCTATCTTGCCGGTTTAGGACGCGAAAATACCAAATAAAGATGGTTTAAAGTCGTCAAAATTGTTCTGTAATGATGACATATACTCCATCTTGACACTTCTATGGCCTTCCTTCAATGGAGAGCTTGTTTGGCTTTGGGAATTGGTAGTGTTGATAGATGGAAGGTCGGGAGCGCCAAAAACATGGAGGTGAAGATTTGAGTTTGGCTGGAGCAAAAGATGCCGAGGTCCAAACTTGAGCCTCATGAGCTTCATCTTGCCGACGAGACAAGAGCGAACATTGGTTACCAAGCTGATATACATAGATGTTAGTTCATGATTTATTCTAGATAGTACAGGAAGATATAGTTAATAATACATAGTTATACAACCAACGCCCAGCTGAAATCCAATCCAGCAGCATATTCAACGGGCCAAAAGAATGGGTGATAGTACAGTAACTTGTGGTGACATATATTATGCGAAGACTGTAATTATTGAGAATTCGCAGCTTTGAAAGACTTAAGGTCACGCAAGCATTGTTTCCACAGCCGAGTGAACTGGCTCACAGTACCATCGTCTGTCTTTTGGTCTATAGCGGGATCTGCCACTAACATACAAGCCATGATGTCTCTCGTTAGTTCCTCGTCGAGAGCAACGGGCGGTTGTTCTCGGGCCATCATAGGTACCCAAGACGAGAGGCAATCGACAGCTTGACGTTGATGCCCCAGTTTAGCATGCAGGCGGAACATGAGTAGGTAAAGCTCCTTTGTCCGTGGTATTTGCATGAGGGGTATTCGATGCCATAGGCGCCAAAAATTGCTGTAATTTCCATGCTCAAAGTACATCTTCAGTAATTCTGGATAGTCCTTGTAGTCGAAGTCAACATTGGCAGAAGCCATTAATTTGCTCAATCGGTTGTGCACAGTCGTGATATGGTCCAATTCTTCCACCGGTACTTTTGAAATAGAATCTGGGTCGGCAGGGGTGTTCGTTGCACCGGGGGCGTCGTTGGCTGGAAGTACGTGAGATTGAAACGCCGATGCTTTGTGAAGCAGAAAAAATACTTCACCGTTGAAGATCTTGATTCCACGAAGACTCATATGTTCCAAAACTCTTAATGCTAGGTCGATGTCTTGTTCAGGGACGCGTTCATTGGCCGCATTTTCGGGGCCTTGGAACGATAATAGCGTACGAACGGTGTCCATCGCAAGCTCCTCCGAGATGTCGCACCCAGAAGCAGCCATGCTTTTAAATGCCCGGTACAGGTCTGTTTTACTATACGCGGGGTGCTTTAGCAGCACGGCAGCTCGGGCGAACGACAGTTTATCTATGAGTACTGTTTCTGTGTCAGATTTCGACACTGCCTCGTAAAACAGCCTTAAGAAAAGGGTTGAATCTCTGTCGCCGGGTCCAAGCCCAAGTTCTCGACGAGCTTCTTCCTCTGGCAACTGGGATAACTGTTCCAACAGAGAAGAGACACTTGGGGATGCCATAGATGTGCTTACTATTTTTGATGGCAGTGCAGGCCTGGACTCCTGAACAATATTGCCGAGAATTTCATGAGATAGTGGCTCAAGGGTGTCGGGTCGGGCTTGGGTATGTATATGCCTCCTTCCTGGGAACCGCTGGCTGAACGTAGATGCAATACTGTCGACACCCTTTCTGGAGCTAGTGGTCTCTGAAGATAAATTGCCCCAGATATCGTCGCGAGGTGCAGGGTTCATTTCTCCAGCCTCCGGGTTAAGAAGACTCCCCCATAGAGCTTCGAGCTGAAGTTCAGATCTCTTCTCTTCAACAAGCATTTGCACAACGATCCGAACTTTGTCTTCCGTGCCGCCGAATCCGATAAAATTCCGATCCTGTGAATTTTTGGTCTTCAATGGGCCATTTTCCACGTCCCCAACATTAACACATATCCACCCGGTTGTTATACCATCATCCCGGGAGTTCAAGGAGCTAGCATCGCCCGTTGCTTTGGCCTTTCTCGCCCTCCGCCGTAGTTTTATTTTAAGTTCATTTCTTCCCAGGAGCCCATCAGCAATTGGCCTCAACTGGTAATTGCTCCGTAGCCACCTGCATAATCGATCTCCAGAAACGTTGAGATGCTTAACGCTTCGGGCTGTCCCAATTATCATAATAAGGTTTGCGCCCAGAGCTGGAGGAGGGTCAAGACCTCGAAGGTCGAGGAGAGCAAGATCGTCGAGCCCGGCATCGACCGAGATATATTGTAGAAGGTTCTCTAATATAGGAGGCGGGTTCTCGGGGAGAGGGGGCAATTCCTGCTGCTTAAGAGGATGCGAACTTGGCTTATGGGATTCGTCCTGTAGATACCACGGGATATGTGACGATTCTGCGCTTGCGTCCTCCTTTGTTTCGGTTTTTGTAGGTAGATCGCTATCCACCTGGGATTTCACGGATCCAAGGGTAGAGAACTGTCGCCTTCCGGTTGTTCGGACGTTTCTCTGATAGAGCTTTGAGCCAGGATAGGATATAGAGGATTGGGGTCGTCGTATAGAGCTCGAGAGGCCACTTATGGCAGCAAAGGAGCGGAATGCAGCATTTCGACAAGCATGGCACCTGATGCCCTGCAAAGCTATTCCACTCATCCTCTTGGCTTGCAAATGAACCACTTAACCAAATCACGAATCTTTTCGTCTCTATTATTTGATTCTTCGCTCCAACTCGACATTTTTAGTTTTTATTTTTTGATAATCAAAAGTTTTAGTATAAGCTTTTTGCACGTGATACGTAATATATTAATAATATCTATCTTAGTAATAATTTATGACTAATAAACAGACAAACAAGGCAAACAATCCCCACTTAAGGAATTTTTATTTTTATTCGACTTTTGTTGCTCCCAAATCGACGCTTCTTCTTTTCTTCTTATATCCAGCTTTTCTTTGGTTTTATTCTTCTTCTCCAAGCATTCAGTTCAGGATATTTATTGTGTACAGCTGTCACCATGTCGATGGATCTGGATGCCCCGGTGTCTATGCAACCGGTCGAGTTTCATCCTCAACAGCAAGCTGCAACGTTCGTCTCCCCCACCCATGAAATAAATTTCTTATCGCTGATAAGGGCTTTTTTTTACAGGATCCTCTGCTGCAACTGCGGCGCCCCTATAGATGGAACAACTGCCGCTGGCGCACTATGTGAAGACTGCGTTAAACTTACGATCGACATTTCAGAAGGCGTTCAGCGTGAAGCAACCCTGCATTGCTGCAAAGATTGTGAGCGCTGGCTGCAACCTCCGGCCCAGTGGATTAGTGCAGCCCTAGAATCTCGCGAGCTACTTGCGCTGTGCCTGCGAAAGCTCAGGGGTCTTGCGAAGGTCCGCATCATAGATGCTGGATTTATTTGGACCGAGCCGCACTCGAAACGACTCAAGGTGAAAATTACCATTCAACAGGAAGCATTCCAAGGCACAATACTACAGCAAGCGTTTGAAGTCGAATATGTCGTTGCTTCCCAGCAATGTCCCGAATGTGCCAAGTCATACACCGTCAATACCTGGCGAGCATCTGTCCAAGTCAGGCAAAAAGTTCCTCATAAGCGCACTTTCCTCTACCTGGAACAGCTCATCCTTAAGCATGGAGCTCACAAGGATACGATAAATATAAAGGAAGTGAAGGACGGATTGGACTTCTACTTTTCCGCTAGGAATCATGCCGAAAAGATGGTTGATTTTTTGGCATCCGTTGCTCCGATAAGAGTGAAGAAGTCGCAGCAATTGATTTCCATGGATGTCCATACCTCTTCAAAGTCCTATAAGATTACATTCTCTGCCGAACTAATACCAATATGCAAGGATGATCTTGTTGCACTGCCTATAAAGCTTGCTCGATCTCTTGGGAATATATCCCCTCTCACTCTTTGCTACAGAGTTGGCACATCTATCAATGTGCTCGACCCTGCAACACTTCAGACAGCGGATATTCCTTCTGCCATTTACTGGAGGTCCCCGTTTGCAAACTTGGCGGATATCCAAGAGCTCGTCGAGTATGTTGTCATGGATATAGAAGCAATTGGCCAATCCAGCGGCCGGTACCACCTTGCCGAAGCAACTGTCGCTAGGTCTTCTGATTTGGGAGTGAATGACACAACTTACTTTGCTCGAACACATCTGGGCGGTATTCTCCATCCTGGAGATACCGTCATGGGCTACCACCTGACTGGAACCAACTTTAACAACGCCAATTTCGAAGAGATAGAAGCTAGCCATACATACGGCTCCACAATTCCTGATGTTATATTAGTCAAGAAGCACTATCCAAGGAAGAGGAAGAACAAGAAGCGCAACTGGCGCCTCAAGCGCTTGGATAGAGAAGAGGAAGATGAACGACCTTCGAAGAAACAGAGCAACAACAACAGACTGGAAGACGATTTTGAAATGTTCTTGCGTGATGTTGAAGAGGATGCTGAGCTACGAAGCACATTGGCGCTATATAAAGCAAAGCATAACCAGAAACCGAAGAACGTGGAAGCCGATGCTATGGAAATGGTAGAAGAGGAGGAAGAGGAAGAAGATGATGAGGTTCCTGAGATCAATGTGGACGAACTATTAGAAGATTTCGAAGAGTTGCACGTAGACGAGTAAGGGAAAGGTACATAGCATGATTTCATACAGAAAGGGAATATAGCATGGGCGCACCACGACGAATTAATGACTGAGCAGCTCTTGCATTGTTTACTTTTTTTTTTTTCCCCTTTTATAATACTCCTTGCCCGCGCTCATGCTCACAGTGGGCATGTGGTCGAGGATTTCTATGGGTTAGTATTTTTCTCCTTCATAAGAGCACATAGCGGCGTTGGGTTATTTGTGATTTAACAAAAAGAATAAAAAAAATTTCGTTTAGGCAACATTGCCTGCTAACAACATGAAATATACATTGCCGTGCACTTCTTGCGGGGTTACTGTGTGGATAAATTTCAACATCGGGACAAACTCAAGAACCCAGATAAGGAGATGCAACTAGAATGCAAATATAGAATTCGCACACTAGGCAGCCCTTCTTCACTTTCCTATAGTCGTATACAATGCATGTATATCAAGTGCTGGTGAAGGACAAGTATAAGGGTTTGATATCAAAAAGCCAGCAGGAAATTCATCTTTGCACGCAGTTTACAGGAGCATCTTCCATCTCAGAGAGAAGCATCCTTTGGGTATCACAAGCGGACCACAAAATACGATCCTGTACACTAGGCCACCGTCCGCTGCTGAGACTGTATAGCTGCGTAGGTCGTCCAATTCGAGATTCTATTGGACTTGGGCGAAATATCACCGATAGGCCGCATGGGAGATGCTTGGATAGAGCTGGCCTTGGAAAAGGCGCTGTTCCTAGGCTGAGAGCAGATTATAGTCGTATCAAAGCTTGTGGTTAGAAGATTTTCGACAATACCCTCTGCGTATCGGGGTCAACTTTCTTTGAGCTGCCAGAAGCACCAGCAGAACTATCACTGTTCCCTCTGACCTCATTTTGTCTGAAAACCCTCCTAATCTCCATCTTCTTATCCGCCGGCTCTTCATTACCACCTGCTTGTTGCTCCCTAGCCTCTCTTTTCTTTTTTATACCCTCCACCATCTTCCCTTGTTCCAGTCCCTGCAAGAACGATTTCTCTTCCTTTCTGGCCTTGGTATCCTCAATACGTCTTCTGGCCTCTGCTTCTCGCTTCTCTCTCTGCACTTGTTCCATGAGATCTGTCCATTTGAAGCCTCGTAAATATTTCATATTCCAAACGTCATCATGGTACCAGCCGCCCTTTTTACCGCCGACAATCGAAGCATTAAGGGTCTCCGCGCATATCTTTGCAGTCTTCTTTGATTCGAATTCGACCCATCCGTCAGTATACATCCGCCGCTTATTCCGACTTGCTTTTATGGCAGCTCTGGAAGCGCTGGTTGGAGGGACATATGGCGATAAAAAGATCTTCGTAATAGGGCCAAAACCGCGTGCCACCAACATGGATTTTAGGGCAGACGGCTTTAAATACGGCGGTAAGGAGGACATATAGATGACACCTGTTTTATTTTTTCGGCTCTTCTTGGTCGCTTTACTTGAAGGTGTAAGTTTTTGGGTAGCGGATTCGCCTGGAGTCGCTGGGTCGGCTGAAACTCGACTCGATGACTCTCCGTTCTTACTAGATTGAGTTATATCGTCAATGGCAGATTCAAGGTCCAGTATAGCAGATTCATCCTGGTTATCACTGCCGTCGAATTCATCGTCTGAAAGCCTTCGACGTTTGGATTGTAGATCTGTGCTCTTGGGCTGCTTGCGTTTGTTCGTTCCCTTCCCCTTCAATTCCTCGAAGTCCTCAGAGTTGTAGCCAGCCTCGCTACCTTCATCATCGGATCCTATGTCTAAGAAGTCGGCGCGCCTCTTTTCCGCCATGGTTGCTGTTCTGTCTGGTGCTGGGTTAACAGTGGTGGTGTTCAAGTTGTAAAAGATTTTTATCTTTTTTTATTTTTATTTTTTTTTATCTTTTTGGCTTCGGGAGTTCGATCTTGAATTTCTCAGCCAATCAGGTTCGGCATTCTGCTTGTCACCAACGTCATAAATACCAGTACCGCCAGTACAGCGAGGACATGGCTGTTTCATGGTTATATCTGTGCAGATTTCTGGATACAGAGGCATTGAGCTAATTCATCCTAAATAGTCTTAATTCTCCAATACATTTTCAGGCATCTAATTCTTGGTATCGCGCAGGTAGTATTTACAGTCGAGAATTGTAACTTGGAGACGTAGGAAGCCCCGAGTCAATGGCAGGCGAAGCTACTAATCACGGTTTGCAGGGAGAAGACGCTGGTATAATTATGCTGCTTAGTTACCTAGCTATAGTAATGAATAAAATTACTAAAATAAGCTGTATTTAAGGCAAATAGATAGGCTGCTGTGTCACAGGAACGGAAAAAGTTGGTATCAAAAAGGAGAGGATATAAACGAAAGCAGTAGCAAAGCAATTGAAGTAATTAAAAATTACTCATTCGCTAAATATGGGCGTCAGAGGAAACTATGTACGGCTTTGCGCCTTTACCAAATATCAAATGTGGTTTATTCTCCGCCAGGTCGAGAATGGTTTGCGCGAAGACGCTGTTTGCCCACGCAAACCAGCTGCGTGTGTATTTGGCGATACGGTTCACGTCCACACTCTCGTGGACTAGACCTAGAAGACACGAATCACGTACCATATTGATGGACTCCATAACTTCAGCATCGGAGTTTGCAGTCCGGGCACGTACGAGTACGGACATCGGCCAGGCATTCTGTAGACCAACTGCCACCAAGACGGTTAGAAGTGAACTTGGGAAAAGATAACATGGAGGATATAACTTACTATGTGGTCCACCAATACCATGGAACGCTGATCCAGTAAGGTAGTAAGGGTTGCCAGTTTTCGAGAGAATCATTTTTCGGGTATTTTTATAGATCTCGTCATTTTGATCGACAAACCCAAGCAGCGGCAGGGCTAGCAATGAAGGGAGATTGGCATCATCCATGAGAATGTTTGATCCGTAGCCATCAACCTCAAAAGCAAACACTTGACCCCAGACTTTATGTGTTACCACTGCATGGTTGTAGATACCCTCCCGGATCTGTTCAGAGTATCGCTTGAGTTTTTGAATCAGGTCTTTATCTCCTCCGACTTTAGATAGAGTGTCCGCTGTTCGTTTTAGCTCAACAGACATCATTGCATTAGCCGGTATGAAGAATCCTAGGATGGAGGTATCATCACTTGGTCGAAAAGCACTGCGAACAAGCCCAGTACCGTTTCCTAGCGGGTTGCCAACACCCATCAAACTCAAGGTCTCCGTACCAGCATTGGTATGTCGCTGGAAGGTATACTCGTTGCGCCGGTATTGCCCGTTCTCATTGAAAGTAGACTGGCTCTGCTCGTCCAATACTCGTAGAACGGTGTTTAGAGCTTCGTACCACCTGGATGTTAAGAAATCCTTTGATTTTGTCTCCTCATAGAATTGGTTTCCGAGAGAGAGGAAGTTAGCAATAGAGTCAAGCTCATATTTGCACTCAAAAACGACGCTTGGCTCATATGCAGGGTGAACCTGGTCCATCTGCCCATTGTTTGTTGGAGGTAGATTACTCGGGGGAGGAGGTTGGAAGGCATTGCAGTATGGCGACTGGATAACAAATTCGGCCTGCGTATTTATAGCTCCCAGTATCAAGTTCTTTATTTTAGGGTCTCCGTTCGCCAATTTCTGGTATTGCGCCAGCTGGTTCGTTGAATCCCGAAGCCACTCAGCGTTTATATCACCAGTGACGATAAACGATTGGGGGCCTTCCCATACGCCGCCTGCTCGCTTTGTCTTCGAACTTCGCTTTTTCTTCTCTGTGCCATCGACATGCCATCGAACAGTTGTGTCAAGTGTGTTAGGGAATGCATTTTCAAAGATCCGAGCGAGATCTTTGTCGACCATGCGTGAGGTGATGTCCTTTATCACCTTCTCAACCAAGGGAGAGGAGAACGTCCGGCATTCTGGTATAGGCCGCTGATATGATAGCTTGAGAGGGCCCTCGCTGTACGGAGGACTAAGTAAATGCAATAGTTAGCGACACCTGATGTCTATCCACTGGTTCACTCGGAGGTGAACGTACTGTTTCGTCTGCGAGTATGCGACATAATCTGGACAAGCTTCCATTATATCCTGCTTGCGCGCATGCAGGCTAGTAGCCCAGCTGTCCGCAGCCGATACTTCGTGATAGGCGAGCGCCCCAAGCACGGCAATTTTAAGAAACCTCATCACTGCCAGCAACTAACTATTAACAAGTTGGTGCGGATTCTTGTTGAAATGGTCGACGTACTGCGAAACAAGAGGCTCAGGGGGCAAAGATGTAGAACGGCGACAGTTTTTCGACTTGGCCCTGGGTGTGCTATTTATCATCCTCGCACAGAACCGCTCCATCCCGGTCCTGCTCCCAGCGCGCGCACAGCTCTTGTAGTCCCAGAGGATACCTGGAACTGAGTAGGAAGTGGTGGAGCTGGCGTGGAGAAGTAGCCAGGGGCTTCCTCGCTTTTGATCTTTGCTTTTTCCGCTGCTTTGCCGTGTCTCTTCTTTTCTGCCTGTGATAGCAAAGCGACCACACGGGGTCAAACTGTCGGCTCTTATGATGTAGCCGTTATAGCCCTTCATTTACTGATGCACCGACGAGGCCAGGCCCTGCGCTTTGTCTACTTGATGCAAGTTTGTATGTGCGACCAGGCTGGTTGCATTGTCTTGTGATCTCCAATATTCTTTTTTGATCAAAGATCTGCAGGCTCGGAGGAGCTGATGAGATCAGTATTCCGCCCCCCAGCCGAGTTACAGTGGTGGAGCAGATGCAATATGGTTGCTTTGGTTATCCCTGTTCCTGTCTGCTCTGTACGAGATGACAGGTGTTTGGTCATAAGGAGGTTGATGTTAACGTGCCCGACGGGTTGCCGGTTTGAGTGTTCTATAGTAAGCTCTATAGTAGAGAAATAAAAGAGGATTAAGAAGGTTTGTTTCCCTTCCTTTCGTACATGCAGAGTAACATCCCATGAAGCAGGCTATTTCTTACCGAAGAACGACATGATACTACCCTGACTGGATTTGGCACCACCCTTTGCCGATTTTGCAGATGAAGATGGCAGCGGTTTTCTTTTCTGGGGTTCGGACTCGTCTTCTGAAAAGGATTCCCATACTGGTTCCTCCTTGGTGACTGCGGGGGAAACAGTAATCTTGTCAGCTATTTTAATAATTGAAAGTGGGTAGCGGAAGGACGTTAACCTGGATATGAACTTACCTAGGTACCCTTCTGCATCCCTTGACACCTTTTTTTTCATTACCTGCCGTCTGCCCCTTCGCCGTTGACCCGCTGGCCGTGTCTCTGACACACTGGACTCTGGTTCAAGCTCGGGCTCCTGCTTCTTCTGTGGGAGGGCTGGGGTTGATGCCAGGGAAGCTTTATCACTTTCTTCAGGCGCCTCCTCTCCCTCAGGCGGCGATTCTGGTGCATCTGGCATGTCCTCATCTTCCATCATGTTAGTATCACAGTATTCGATGGCAAAGGGATATTATTAATATTTACCTTCCATCATCTTTCGGAGGCGTTCTTCCCGATCTTTTCTCGATTCTTGTTCTTTATTGCTAGTCTTTTTCCCAGTATCCAGGAAAAGGTCCTCTCTTTCCTCCTCAGACTCATCATCCAGCATAGCTATACAAGAAGTTAGCAAAGATCAAATTGCTTGACCCGTGATGGCGTTGCATACTATTCTGAGACTCGTTTGGTGTCGACTTTTAAACAGTTAACGGTTAATGCCATTTCCCTAAGGGACGAAGGAGTTTTCTTACATCTGCATCGTCATCCTTCGCCTGTTGCTTTGGCCTTGATTTGGCGAAAGCTTTGAATATACTTGAAGAGTCACGTTTGTGTGTAGGCTTGCCTTGAGACGATTTGGTTGTTGACTGCGAGCTTCCCAGTGCCCGAAAAGGAGTTGAAGATGGTTCTGGCTTCTTATCCGTAGGCTGGGTCATGGATTTCTTACCGGGAGGCTCTTGTTCGGCCTTTTTGACCGCGGTTTTCTGTGTTGGGTTCTCTTCTTTAATGGGCATCGGCATAGACGCTGGTGTTCCCGATCGTCTCTAAAGTAAAATTGAGCATGGGGTTTACATCGTTGGCCAAAGTGTACATACCTTAACATTCTTGTTCTGGATCATCCCATACTTTTCATTGTGTTGAAAGACATCGTCCCCAGGAGAAGTAGATGATACCTGTCCAATGTCTGCCAACACATTCAAGTCTGGCAGTGAAGTCGGCTGTACGCTGTATACAAAAATGGATAAAACCTTCTGGAAACGGGACTTTGCATCTGGAGAAGATGTTAGCATAATCCGGTCCCAATCCAGACTCAAAAGACTTGCCCTCCAATTCTTCTTCCGGAACGAGTAACACAGAAGTAATAGCAGGTCCAGCCACAGTTTCTGTCGTTTCGGGTTGAGCTGGCTGACTGCCCACCACGGGACTGCTCTGCATCACCTCATCTTCGCCATCTTTCAAATGATTTCTACTCAAAGGCAATGGTTTGATGTGACCAGAAATTCCGGTCAACAGATAAGTCGCATGGACAGACTTTGGTTTCTTCTCATTTTCAGAGCGATGAAACTCATATAGCATTCTGTAGCAGTATCTTAGCCTATGAACAACATCTCAGGGCCCTCAAAAACATACCGCTTGGCCTGGTTGCTGTGGACTTTCTGCGCTCTACTGAGAGCTTTATATGTGACCTAGATATCCGCCGGTCAATGACATGCAAGGCCGATATATGCATGAAACCTCTCCTACGTACAAATTCCTCATCATTGAACACCTTCCCGGCCAGAAACTGTTTGCAACTTGTCCCCATCCTTTTGCCGGCGCTCCGTCTTCTTCTACTTTCTGCCTCCTTGACGACGTCGTTGTTTTGCTGTAGTTAAGAAAACGCGTGAGAAAAACCAATTTACGCGTATCAGTCAGCGTAGGTCTTGGCGCTCGCCTCGGGAGTGTATTCTTCGTTCAGCCTCAAGTTGGCAACGCCGTCGGTTTTTTCATTATAGCAGCCGGCTTATTGACTGTTTTATTTGATCACTTTGGACAGACAAGAGAGAGGATAGAAGGACTCTCCATGGATCGCAATTTCGATATACCTGATTCCACCGACTGGACAGCCACACCACTCCCAGATGTTGCTCACTTCGAATCCGCCTTACGATGTCAGATATGCAAGGACTTCTTCGACAACCCGGTCATCACCTCCTGTTGCCATACCTTTTGCTCTCTGTGTATACGGCGGTGTCTGAGTGCTGAAGGACAATGCCCTGTCTGCCGCAGCAACGACCAGGAGCTTAAGCTACGCCGAAATTGGGCTGTTGGGAGTCTCGTCGAGTCATTCAAGACAGCAAGGCCGTCAATGCTTGCGTTTGTGAGGAATAATCAGATACATACAACGCTAGTATCTAGACCAGGGTCAGAGGATGCGGCGGAAAGCCCGGCGACGAAGAGGAGAAAGATTGACCATATCGGTGGAGATAGTGCTACGGGCCTGGAGACTAGCAGGAGAACGAGGTCGCAAGGTAGGAGGTTAGAAAACAACGCAAAGTCGGAGTACGAGCCTGTGATTATACCAGATAGTGCAGATGAAGAAGACGGGGAAAAAGAAGATGAAGAGTATCAGCCGGGTATGAGCTTGCGTTTACTCTGATGTTTGTCTTCCAAGACAGAAGTTAACTCTGACTTTAGATGACGGGCTCGTGGCTTGCCCCGTCTGCATGAGAAGAATGAAGAATGAAGCAGTGTTTTCTCATCTAGACAACTGCACCGGCACATCAGAAAACGAAAGCGGCTCCAAGTCTAATGGGTACGTGTTCCTGTTTCGTACCCTATTCGAATTATTATTAACCCTGCCATCTAGAACTATTGGGTTCCTGGGGCTGAGAAGCTCCCCAAGCACTCCAAAGACCTTCACTCGTCTTCCAACAATAAATTACTCCATTTTCAAAGAAAACACTCTGCGAAAAAAGCTCAAGGAACTTGGTATTCCAGATTGGGGTCCGAAGCCCATCCTACAAAAACGGCACACAGAATGGATGAATTTATGGAATGCAAATTGTGACTCTATAAATCCTAAATCAAAGCGAGATCTTCTCCGGGATCTCGATGTTTGGGAAAGGACTCAGGGCGGACTGGCGACCTCACAAGCTTCGTCGAGAGGCAATTCTGCGATAATGAAGAAAGACTTTGATGTGACTGCTTGGTCGCAGTCGCATGATGATGACTATAGAAAACTCATTGCAGAGGCGCGCAGTATGAGGGCTAAACGTGTAGCGGTATCTAATGGGAATGCAGAAGGCCAACCAAATGAAGAAGAGGTCAATGAAGGGTCACTATCAGCGCCAGCGCCAACACCAATGGCAGCGGTTAGGACACCGTCTAACGAGACAGTTCTGGAACAGCCGAGTGAGTCGAAGAAGACCGGATGCGAGCAAGACCATCCTGAGATAGAGCCTGATAGCACAGACAAATCGATGCAGGTTGCTGTAGTGGCACCATAGTTGCAGTTGTCTCATCAAGCTGGAATTGTCAATTCGCTTGGCTGTCGTCGTCTCGGGGTATATTATAGTGGTTTTAAGCACGCACGTATACCTTGTAGACCATCTCCTCTCGGAAGAGAGAGCGAAAAAGAAGTCTACTCTATCGTTTCTGCTAGAGCTTTGGTGCTCTGTTTCGCTCTTGCTGTTGGGTTGTCGCCAATTGCCATCTGCGACAATTTGTCAATGCTCTCTTCTAGATCATTATCAGTGGCGCGAGCGGCTGGAGTTTTTATTACCCCTTGGTTCTTTTCTAGCTCCGCTAGACGTTTCCGAGTTTCTTCTGCATCCTTCTCCTCTCTTGCTTCACGCTCCTGGTCCTCCAGCTCCTTCAGTTCATCGTCTAATTTAGTCTCATCGATGACCGGTCCAGCCTCGTTTATAACGCCTCCGAGTTCATCCACATTATCCATTTCCTTTCTTAGTTCTTCAACAATATCCTCAACCTTGTCCACACCTCCAAGTTGGGAGTTAAGCTGCCGGAGAACTCCAGTGCTTGCTTGCATAACCCGCACTATATCTACTTGGCTAGCAGCCTGCTCCACTTTAGAGTATACCTCTTCAAGCTGCCATAGGGTATCGGTGCGCTGTTGAAGGTTGCGCTCTGCGAGCTTCCTGAGCCGAAGTGAGGATAGGGCCAGGATCCTATTTTTGTTTGCGAGCGCATTCTGCGCATTGCCAGTGAGCTCTTTTATTTTCTCACTCAAGGTGGACACCTGCAACGTTAGTCGTGCAATTGTTGCCTTGAGGGAGGCAATTGATGCATCTTCCTCAGTGATGCGATCCGTGGTATCACTTGCATCCCTAAATTTCACTGTCTATAGACTTATTAGCGGGTTTGAACTTTGGATATAACAAGGCCACGTTCAGTGCCTACCTTTCCGTCGTATAGTATGATATTCCTATCCCTTGAAAGAAACGTAAGTAGTACATTAAAATCCGTCGTAGATAGCAACGTCTCTTCTCCAAATATATGAGCGAACTGTAACATGAACATTTCTTTAGAGTATATGCGGTCAACACTTGAGTTATGATGACCAACAACCCCCTTTATAAGCCTGCCTGCTGCTTGCTAGCAGAATAAAATCAGTGTTAATACAGTTTATTTTATATGGGAAAATAAGTACCTTGACATTATCTACAAGTACCAACTCGCTCGTCTGAAGCGTTCCGGAACCAGCTAGACTATCGATATCCGAGCCTGTAACCAGCCCACGAGCTTGTTTCATACCCCACATGACCACTTGTGATAGACTTGGAGGACTAGGTAACCGTAACCAGCCACTCCTGAAGGGACTTGTCTGACTGTTCAAAAACGTATCGAGCAGCATCATATGCCCACTGCGTAATGCTTCATCCTACTAGCTATCAGTATTTACCAGCGCGTCCAGTTTTTAAAACCTCGTCATGAACTCGAAACACTCACGATCACACACTGTAGAGATAGCGGTCTTCCCCACTCTCTTGTTTCCAAGTCCGCCATGAGAGCATTGCTAGTTCGTAGGACAAGTAAGTTGTTTCTGTGTGATAGGCTGTCTTTCCGAGAATCCGGCTTCGGGACAGAGCTGGAGGATAGAGAAGAAACATGGCCGGCTAAAGCAGCATTCGCCAGCGCCCGCTGCCACGCCGTTACATTGCTATTATATCCATCGGGATTTGTCTGTTTCTGACGAGAGAAGTCGGAGTATAACGACGGTAGACGAACCCTTTACGTAGATAAGGAAACAAGGAGTTAGCTTGATAAGTGATGGATTCCACGCGAGGAAATGGTGGCGAATACCTGCGGAAGGCGTCTTCGTGGTCAAGGATGTATGATAGGAGCTCACTCATTGCGACTTCACTACAGTATGAGTGAAAAGGGCCAGAGGCAATGCCGCCAAAACATATCCTTCGACTAAAGAAAGACAACCGGGAGCTGCTGTGGAGTTTCAATGTTGACGTTTGGCGTTTGATGTTCAATCATCGCGCTTATGCATCGGTTCTTGGCGAACTTATTTATCGCGCTTAGCTAGTAAGTTAACTCACAGCTCTAAAATTAGCACCCAGGATTGGCTCCTCTGACTTATATACTCAAATCCTCTATTCTGGCTATTGTGCCTATAATATCGTGTTTGCTCCATATTGTCTATCATATACTGTCTTTTTAAGATACCAAGGCGATAACGGATGTGCCAACGATGAGAAAAATATACCTATGACGTCATATCATTATGGAAATTAAGCACTGCGACGGTGACCTACTACTTGAAGATCGAATATCATAACAGGTAGATACACTTTTATATACCTGATACAATGCCGGTAACAACAAGAAGTCAAGCACGGGGATGTGGTGAACTTTACGGCAGTATAGATGACCGAATATCTACTTATGCTACAATGTATCCTGTTTTCTGCACCACGAACATCCCTCCAAAGGTATGGCTAAATGCGGAGTGATGTTTGTACTGACTATTTCACTAATCCTATTTTAGGTGCTCGATTGGTTCATTGATGAGGCATACAGAGGGATACTACTGTCGGAAGAGGACAGTGATCCTCCAGGCGCACCATGCATCATCCAAACAACTGACCTGAGTTCAATAACCCACGGTTCTCGCAAGCCTATGTCTGATTTTGAGTCTCCGTTCTTGAACTATACAGACAATGAGATTCGGAACTGGATGGAACATCATCCGTGCCCGGGATTTGCAGAAGCTACCTTTACCATCCTTGACCAGCTAACCATTGATGAGGGCACATGTCGTGTTGGATACTGCAGCGGTCTCTCCGATCCACAGCGTGACACTCGAATGTTCACTACGATCCCTTACAATGATGTATCACTCAGAGTTACGATTGAGTTGGGAGAAATATCTTGGTGTGAGATAGTTGAGGAGACAGAAGGAACATTTACGCGCAATGATCCTGCCGCGGCTAAATAATTAAGCTAAATGGAGGAGTGACACTATCAGTGCCTATGGCATGAAATTGCTATCATCTCATGAAAAACTTAGGTGGGCATCGAGGACTAAAATTCGAGACCTTTATATCCCCACAAAAGATAAAACCACTATTTAAAGGGGTTTGACTAAGTGCTTTCGATGGTAGAACATATCTACGCGCTCATAGACCCTAGGAGAACGCCCGAGACGGCAGAGAACATCCGCGAGTACGTTAGACAGCATGGGCGAGCGGGAATGACGACAACTGCAGGACAGTTAAACCCTCGAGAAATTACAAAATTGAGGCGGATCGAGGCGTTCGCTTCCCATCTGCCTGTGCGGGGCATGGCAAGGGACGAGGAACCGCCCGCAAGCTTCAGAAAGAAGGGAGATCCTCTTGTCCTCCGAATCACGTCCGTTGAAGAAAGATAATGTAAGTGTATTAAACCATCTTTCTTTTAATATGTCTAATAACGTTTCACCTAGACTAAATGACCCTATTAGGACGCGTCGAAAGGGCCGCGAAGAGGAGGGAAAGAGACACATTGATCACCCAGGGGGTATTAGGAGAATCGTTGGAAGATATACCACAGGCAATGGCTGCAAAACTGAGGCACAGAAACAAGAATAAGAAGGAAGGCGTTTAAATGCATTAACCAAGGCATGGAGTATCAAATTCTGGGTTATAGAGGGCTATTTCATTCAAATTCATCATCTTCAGGCTCCTCATCCTCCCTTCTTAGAATCTTGGCTGACTGGGTATTTTCTAACGGGCCAACAGACCCCAGAATGGATCGCCGGTGGCGTCGGAAAGTAGGCATCTCATTCATGTCTTCGGTAGCATCAAGTTGCTCTTCGGAAACCTCCTCCTCCTCTCCCTCTAGTCCTTGAGCTTCGAGGCACCCCATCTTCACAGACAGCCTTAGCTCCTCTACATAAGTTCGTAGATCAGGAAAGGCAAACAATCCCTCTTCCAATATAGGTCCATAGTACCTCTCGGCTTCCTCAAGGCAGCTAGATGCAAAGGCAGGTTTACCAATTGCTAGCCAATAGTCAGCAGCCAGAAGTGACCACATACCGGCCTTCCGTCGTCGGGTTCCCCATTTGGTACCTTCTGTTGCAACCTTTGCGGCAAAACATGCAGAGGTCCGTTCGGAGACGAGAATTCGACCAATTGAACCGACGAGGTTCATGTTGAGGGCTTTCATATTCCACTTAGCGGCATTTTCAGCTGCAGAGCCGCCGCGGGATTTCAAGAGCTCTGCTCCAAGTATGATAGTGCGTAAGGTATTTTGACCATCTGAACATCGAGTTAGGTATGAGTAACAGGCAATATCTAACAGTTGGTCAACGGTGTCAATTTTGGATTTATTGGCTGAGGTAAGGGGGTTAAGTAGCATGCTTATAGCACACATCTCATGGGCTCCGGCGTGGTATCTCCAAGCTTTATCGTTCCCAAAGTCGCTTCTTAGAAGGTCATATGTTGATGAAGCAAGTTTAAAGTCACGGAGCATAAAAGAATAATCTGCCATCTTCCGTAATAATGCTTCGGGGGAATCCGGCTTATAATAACCCTGGTAAGGGTCGTAGTTGCTTCCACTACCACCTCCTCCAAAAGCGCCAGAGGACTTTGAACTCGAACCAAAGCCGGTCCAGCGTTTGGATATGGACATGAAGCGCCCGCTCAAGCCTCTTCTCCTGGAAGCGACTTGTTCATTCCACATGGCCACACGGTTCTCCATGTGAGGAATAACAGACTGCGCAACCAATTCCCGGATAAAGGATATAATGGCCGTAACATCGGACTCGAATATATGAGGGGATTCCCAGCCCACGTCTAACAGGGGCTCTGTGAATAAAAAATGTGTTAGATTAGCCACGGTCAATTGTATACTATTATAGGGAGTATGTATACCTTGCTCTTTGGCTTCTATCAACTCCTCTCGCGAGCTTTGCCACTCGCAAGTTGGAAATGGCATACCGTCGTCATCTGTCACAACGCATTGATTACTTCGAAGCCGTAACATGTGACAGTGTAGACCAAAATGTCGTTTCATCTGATCGAATAAGGCTGTTGATTGAGTGATGTCGTCTCTATCCTCGTCATGAACGAGGACATAATACCGGAGGTATTCTGGGTGAATCCAGGGCCGGGGCCCTTGCTCTCCATGGCTCGTACTGGCATAAAGCTGACGTAGTGCTTCTAACGGAGATGGTGTACTAGAACTAATAGCTATAACACATGCCACAGGGTGAAGAAAGGTTTCATGAGGAGTAGGAGCGTCTGCGGACAATAGCCGTCTTAAGAATAGCCTATATAAAGGAGATGACAACGTCACGCCCTTGGGAGTGGGCTGTCCTGCGAATATCATATCACTGGCCGCTCGATTAGAGGGCTCAAGATGAGTTTCCAGGACCTTTTCAATCTGTGTCAAAGGGGGTATCTTGTCTATGTCTTCAGCTCCTGCGGTCGAGGGCTGCCGGCTACCATTTGAGTGCACAAATCTCACCCCGTAGTCATCCCAGCTCCGGCTAGATCCCACTCCGTCTCGAATGATAACCTTGCCGGTAATTTTCTCGCCAAACGGCCGCAGGAGCTCGCAGAAACCACCCTTCAGCCCCTTTCTTCGCACGAGTTCGTTCGTCTCTTGCGAAGCGTAAACGCTGATAGCCGGTGAGAAGGCCCGGATTATTGTCGACCGTATATCATCTGCAGTATCGATCTGATGTCTGGCGGGTGAGAGGGTTGAAGATCTAGAAAGCCGCTGGGAGGAGCGAGAAAGCCGTCGATCAGGCGAGCTGGCTCGGGATGAGGGCGCAGACTGTAGCTCGGAGGCCAGGGAGTTGGGCAAGGCGCTCTCAGAGAGAGACGTCAGTGCCGATTGCTGTGTATTCTGCAGCCGCTCAGCGTACCTGGACTTGGTGGGAAGAGGTGATGCCGGCGAGAAGGAGGGCGGCGGTTTGATCGGGGGAGCATCCTCGGGGGTTGTCATGGACAACTCGGTCTGGCTGACGGAGTTTGGAGTATGCGTGTGGCAGATTGGCTGCTTTTCGTGAACATGTAGCCTATGGTCTTCGCTGTATGGGAGAGCGCCTTTCCGAGTATTCTTCAAGTCGTTGTGAGATCCAACGTAGAGGCCGAGAATGTGGATGTTGGTGTTGACGTGACGTTGACGTTGACGTTGACGATGTTGTTGGCAAGCAAATCTGCGCAAGACATGAAAACGAAATAAACTGATTAGTTTATGACTTCATCAAGCCGAACAACATCTCTACCAACTATCCACTGCGGCATTCTACGAGATAATTGTGCGCATTTGCCAATCTTTGTCCGTTATTTTCAGCCGATAGCGCGGTTTAGGTGCGAACCCCCTGTTTCCTCTCTCCGATAGTTAACTAGTTAGTTGATTGTTACTGACTCACGCCTAGTTAGATATCTGATACAAGCACATCGACCACTCCAATCCCAGCAGACAACATATAGACATATATACCTGTGGATGTCTAATCGATGCGCCTGTTTCTCGGGCCACTGGAAGCTCTTTGTCGACGAATTCTTCGTGCGCGCCAACTGCCTAACCTGAAGCCTACTCGCTCTCTAGTGAACTCGAATCGCTTCAACCACACACAACAAGCAGCTGTTTTGCCTATGAGTGGTCTTTCTGGTGAAGTTGACAGACCAAACAAACGCAGGCGCATAGTAAAGTCAGGTGTATCTGAGAGCACAATGACACGGGGAGGTGGAGTGAAAGTGCCACAGGTGCAGCTGAGCTCGGAGGAAGCACTCTTGCGAACGCTGCTGTTGGACACAGTGGAGTATATTCGGCGTAAGAATAATGATGACCCCAAGGGCTCTGGGCTCGTCCTCCGGTTTACTGGAGGTTGGGTACGTGACAAAGTACTAGGCGTGGACAGTCAGGATATTGACGTCGGGATCAGCACTATGACGGGCTATGAGTTCGGCCTGGCGCTGAAGGAATACCTTGATATCCCAGAGAATCTTGAAAGATATAAGGCTCACTATCCGGAGCATGCCCTCAAAGGAGTTATTGGCGGACTACATAAGATCGCTGCGAATCCGGAGAAATCAAAACATCTCGAGACAACTACAATTCGGGTCTTTGGATTTGACGTGGACTTGGTTAACTTGAGGAAAGAAACTTATACAGACACCAGTCGGAACCCACAAGTCGAATTTGGAACTGCAGAAGAAGACGCCCTTCGTCGTGATGCTACTGTCAATGCGCTATTTTACAACTTGCACACCGGTGAAGTAGAAGATTTCACTGGTATGGGGCTGTCTGATATGGAAGCGAAACTGATTCGCACACCGCTGGCGCCCTATCAAACCTTCAAAGATGACCCGTTAAGAGTTCTAAGGTTAATCCGCTTTGCCAGCAGACTCGGCTATACCATTGATCCTAATACTGAAGAGTCGATGTGCGATGATGATATTAAGCATTCCCTCAGGCTTAAAATAAGTCAGGAAAGAATTGGTATCGAAATAGAAAAGATGCTCCGCGGTATGTTTTCTAGAACTATGGTGAGACTTGTATCGAAAAAGATATGCTGACATAGCTCTTCTAGGCCCTGATCCCCTGGGCGCATTGATGATTATAAACAGGCTGGGCCTATATGACACTATCTTTTCAGATCATCTGAGCGCGATTGATGTTGATACGTCTTCTTGGCCAACCGCATATACTCTGTTGAATAGTATCCTAGACGAAACGGATTATCCTAATGTGTCCCTTGAGCTTCGGAAGTCGGTAAAAAACTTCCTTATCCGTGATAAAGACGAAAAGTACCGGTCCTGGATGATTGCTGCGCTATCTCCTTGGGCGATGGTGGATTTTAAACATCCCCTAACTGAAGAAGAAGCTAGAAAAATGGCCCCCCGCCCGACAAGGGTTGCTCGGGATGGCCTTAGGTGCGAAAAGAAATTGACAACCTTGTTAAGCGTAGCAGTCACCCGCTACGGGCTAATATCAGATGTCAAAACAGCGTATGTTAACGGGAGGTCTGATACTACCTCTCTATCTGACGATCGATGGAAACTTGCAAAACTCCTCCGAACTCTAGGAGCGGATTGGAGGCTTTGTTTTATTCAGGCAATACTGCTAGATGTTATGCAAGGGAAAGCTGCCCAAACCGGTGAGTTTTAGAACCTCCTCGCTTCTCCATTAAGTATACTAAATCCACATGGATAGTTTTGAATGATTACCTTGAGGTCCTGAAATTTCTAGAGCAGGAGAATCTCCTCGAAGTAACCAACCTTAAGCCTCTTGTTAATGGACGTGATATGATTAAAGCCTTAAACTCGAAAGCAGGAGCATGGCTGACAACCGCTTTGGAAATTGCCATGGAATGGCAAATTCGGAATCCAGACCGGACAGATGCAGAGGGCGCAATAGAAGAAGCTATACGCAGGAAAGACGAGTATCAATAGGCTTCAGGCGTGTTTGCAACTAGCGTAGATGAATGGAGTATTTCAACAGTGGTATCGCTATCGCCACTCTTTCGAATTCCGTATTCATACAGTGGGGAACCCATCAACCCTGGCCTCCAGGCTCTCTTAGAGTGTCAAATCTCCTATATCAAGTATATAGCTGCACTTCTTTGCTAAACATTGCTAGCTTTCGAACAAACGTAGACAAGAAGTTGTTAGTATCCGTAGACTCACTTAGCTAGTTAAAGTAGTTAGTTGAGGCCGGACCACCGCCGTCAATTTCTTTTCTTAGCGCCGCTTGTTTTTCTCATTTTACCTACAAATAAATATCTTCAAGGCTTCAACCGCCCACTATATACAGGGCCAAATGCACCTACGTAACTCCCTGTGAATTTCTATGGCGATTGTCTTATAAGTTGACTCAAGCATGGATAAATGTCGTGAAACGGCTCGAACATTTGTCAAACAGGCCACAAGCAATAGTAACCTGGACATCTATACCCAAGCTGTGACGACATGCAACGTTGACCTCGAAGGTCTCTGGTCTGATATCAGTGAACACAAAAGTGACAATAATGTGAGTATTTGCATCCTGCTCTTCACGAATATGAACTAATAAGTAGTAGGTGTTAGAAAATTTGCTCGTCGCAGAAGCTTGCCTTCGCGACGGGAACGCTGAAAAAACGAAAGATGGCCGAAATTTAAATGCTGCAAGTTCACTACTATACTGGATACTAGCTACGCTTCCTCCAAGAGAAGAGCTTGCATCTGTTTGGAGTGAATTTCAACTTGCGGATGGTTAGCTCTACCCCCCACTCGCCTCGTGGAAAGCCTGATTCTAACCGCAGGAAGAGGAACAAAAAAATACTATAATATCGAAATACCGAGAAGATCGGCTTAAAGCAACCATTGGACTGCGGGTTACAGCCCTTATAGCACCCGTTTTTCCAATGAATGAGGCTATGCATATTGAAGATATCCTCTCAAGCCTTGCTATGTTCAGTTCATCCAGTGACCCTTGGACAACAGTGGAAAGTGCCCAAATGGCGACAGACCTTCTCCAAAAATATGAAATTAAATTTCGGGAAGAAGGGAAATTTGGGACTTTTATTGAAGGAATGCTTCGCAGAAAGGTGAAGCCAGCGTTTTCTAAAACGAAGACTCCAGCAATAACCTCCGCAGGACGCAAGGATATGCATCCAATTCCAAAACCAAGTTTTGACCCCACGTTGTTTGATACAGGAACCAAACCGTGGAAGTTTAAAGAAGGGTATATTGTATCAGTTCTTAATTGGATTGTACAACAGTATCAGGTATGTGACGCTTGTACCAAATCGATGAACCGGTGTCTAAACTAAGGCATGAATATAGAACACAGATCATAGTATGATCGAACAGCACTTCCCGTTGCTTATACCCGCAATTCTATCCTTTATTGATGATGAAAACATTGCCTACAAAGCTGCTGGCTGTCGCTTGCTCGAGGTCGCTCTTCGCCCACTTGAACAGGCCGGATCTGATATCTTACGTCGAACTAACCTCGACTCTGTATTTCAAGACGCGTTATCTCACTGTCTCTTATCTATCCCTACGATAACGCCAGAAAAAGAATCGGTATATCTCTTAAGCTTTGCATATCCAGCTATATTCACTGTTATCCGGACGCGGTTCTCTGCTGTTACCAAATACCAACAATGTCCTGACAAACCATTGAACACGAAATCCAAGGCTGATCTTGAAAAGGATTCCCAATTACGGATTGAATCACTTTCGAGGCTTGTGCGCCACCACATTATATCTTCGTACCTTCATACCAGCAGCCCGAGGCCAACTGAAGACACATCTATTTCTTCGTACCCGCACCCATCACTTTCTACACTTTTGCTGAAGCAGCTGGCCGAAGCAGTGACCAGCCTTGAAATCGAGGCTGCAAAGTACTTACAGGACATTGTTCCTTTACTCTCCTCAACTCTCACAAATCCTTTCGGTTTGGCATATGTACCATTGCTCATCGCAGCTAGCCAATGCTATCAGTCAGTTATTTTGAATTGCTGGCCACGCTTATCAAGATGGAGAGGGGATATTTTGGCTGGAATATGCACATGCTGGCTTCGGCTGTGTGATGAGAAAGAGGACGGTGTATCCTCAAATGACGAAGAGCCGAATGACAGAGAACATCTTCGGTCCATTTTAAAAAGATTGGTAATACTTTTGAAAGCCATTGAGTTCGACAAAGTATCTGACTTCGAAGCCGAGCTTAAGGAATTGGTAGATGCCGATGATAGACTGGAAACCTTACTTAGATAGGATCTTTTTTACTATCGTCTGTTCCATGAAGAAGTACTTCTATGTCTAAATTATAAAGGCAGCTAGGGTATCTAAACCAAGATCATATACGAAACACTGCGAAAAATGTGAAAATTGAGAAACAGCATTCAAAGCGTTATACTTCAACACCTTGTTTGAATAAGCTTTTTCCCCTTAGCCATTGTCTGTACCGTTTGTAGCGCTTTTTGTCATAATCCTCACTGTTAACAGTAAGCCCTTCATCTCCAACTGTCAAGAAATCGGTATAGTCTGCCATGTTACTCTCAGCAATCGAGTTTAAGTTGGCGTCTTCTAGGTTGCTCTGATTTGCGTATTCAAATAAATCTAAATTCGAGCCTCTCTCTTCCAAAGATGCAGCGGTCAGTGAGGCTTCTGAAGTTACAACCAGCGGTACCTTGAGCGGATGGTTGACATATCGTTCATATTCTTCTGCCTCAGCAGAGGAAAGTGATGGATTGAGAGAATCAGCAATCATTTGACCAAAGCTCCATTGGGCAACCTGCGCTTTGGTGGCATTATATGGCGGTTGGCTATATGCATTTGTCAGAGAGATTGGATCGTTGGTTGGGTGGGAATTTGTGACCAGGGCATTTTGAGTTCCCTTCAGGATACCGGCTTGGGGAATAAGTCTTCCGGATGAGGGCTGTAGCCAGTGTTGCAAAGGCATGGCACCCGAATAGCCATTATTCGAACCAGGTTTGATATCTTTTAACTCGTCAGAGGGCTCTAGAATCGTAAGCCGTTTGTTCGGTGTGTGTCTCCTATCACGTTGATGGTCCGGCTCATGATCCGTTCTAACTACAAACGGGCTAAGATCGTGTTCTCCTGGGTGCATGGATTGGAGTTGGTAGTCTGGCAATTTGGTTCTCATTTTAAATGAAAACATTTTTGAAAAAGAGGATATAGCTCTTGGTCGGTAATATTCAAGCCAGTAGTCATCAAATTCACGGATACGCTTGCTTGCCAGAGCTGAGGAGGCTGAGGGTGCGGGAGGCATTTCTCGCTTTTGAAGATGCTCTTTGTTATACCAATTTATGTAGTTTTGTTTATGGGTTGCAAGCCAGGTTCGTGGATCAGAATGATGCAGATAATAATCTGTGGAAAGGTTCCAGAGCATTGGAATGTTTTTGGAGAACACATAATTTCCTAAAAATAAATTGTACGCTTCCTGTCGTTGAGCGTCAAGGAAAGAATTGTTGTAGTACCGCTTGAAGCTCTCGACCATATCTCGAGAGTGTCCTGTCCACTGGTTTAATTTCCGGTAGGTAGCCATAGTATTCACGAGATGCGAGCCTCCATACTGCACAGCAATGGTATCTCCGTGGCCATGCCACATATTTGTGAAGGTGTTAATAGCATCCGTGTCATAATCTATGTATGTGTGGTCGATTAAACCAAGGGCTTGCAACTGGTATCCCAGAGCGCGTTTTGCAATGACGAATTGAGCGGCATTTGTTCGATCAAGGCAATCGATACAATTTGTCCTCGCAACTCCATTTTGCATGCGCAGTCCAGATGCCCCATCTTCACCATTTCGGAAAAATCCAGTCTTCGGAATGATATCGTCTGCGATAGACTCCAATGTTCCGATGACATCTTGGTCCCGGCTCTTTGATGCTCTGCTCATGTCCCAAGCGCGATATATAATTTTCTTATCGTCAGGGAGGAACTGGTTCAAATAATTCACAGCATTTGTATACTCCGTCAATAGCTTAGATTCACGGGGAATTTTTTCTCGGGCCTTAATAAGATTTAGGACATAGACAGGACTGCCATATCTTTCAAAGAGGTTGTTAAAATGAAGAGCTGCTGCAGAATAAAAGGGGTCAACAACACTCAATGAGATGTCAGGCTTGGGTGTAACTCCGGTACTATCTTGTGTCCATGCCAGAGGAATACTGCCACGGTGCTGGACATAGGAGGTGTATTGCGGATTAGCATAGAGTTCCGGACCAGGCGCATGGAAAGACGTGGTAAGCATATCTGAAACAATCTGTTCAGTCTCAACATCATTGGCCACATATCCAAGATCATTCACCCCGCGTTTAAGATACCGAGCGCCGGCAAAAAACCTGGACCTGCGAGCAATGAGGGTTAAGTACACAAGTCTTCCGTAGATTGATATTGCAGACTGGTCAACATATCCGTGGGTAATTGGCAGGAACCAGTCAAAGGCATTTTTCAGCAGCTTGATAACCGGGTTTAGCAAATATTGATTCCAAACGAACATAGAGTTGGGGTCACCGTTTCCACGGTTTTTCTGTCCTGATCTGATCGCTTGTCGTTCCGCAACAATGTTATCCTGTAAGGTACGGGAAATATTATAAGAATAGCTGAAGTAAAAAGAACGAGTCAAGTCGATATTGTTCATCACCGCAACGAATCGAGCTTCGTCTGCGTGTTTTTCAGGTCTCTGCCTTGATGTGGTAGAGGACTCTAAGGGTATAAGCTCTGTCCCATCTATTTGATAAATGTAGTGGCCCCCTAGCATGGCAACTTGACTTCGTTTGGTGATCACAAGCATATAATATGACCCAGTAAAACGTATAAACCCCAAAAGCCCCCAGGTGCTACAACGTAGCTTCAGTCCACCGGAGCTTTTATTACCATCATCCACAGCATCAAGGAGCTGATTCATCTCTTTTTTTGAATATATAGTTTCATCCTCTGCAAAGACGAGGTCTTCCTCCGGATCTGATGTACGATCAATTTTTAACATCCGGAAGCGTCGATCCAGGAGATCCATTCCAACCAGATAATATTTTGTAGCAGTTTCGTATAGCGAAAATTTGTGCATTTTGGCAAATGGAAGATTCCCATCCTGCCCCGCATGCCCCATGCTACTGCCATCACTTCTGGTATCAGTGTCGTCCCGACCTTTATGGGCGGCACTAGTTGGCGAGGTGGTTCTCTCGAACGATTTGGCAACATGAGGCTCCTCATCACCACCTTCTCCGTCATCATCAAATATCAGCATGCTAGTTGAACCACGGCGTTCCTCAAAGGAGTTGTCGATGCTTGTTGAATTGCTTGCTTGCTGCGATGTTTGCCTATTCTTGTCGCCGTGTGTCCGTTGTGGGTCGTATGGGTTCAAAACGGTTGCCGGGGAGTCAGCCAGAGACGAGTTGGGACTATTATTGTCTTCTTTAATATTAGTGAGTCCCTCATCATCGTGACGTTGAGCGGCTCTATCAAACGACGTTCGTCTGATATCTGAAGGCTCGTGCGGTTGTGGCTGACAACCAGCTGATTGCCCACTAAATGAGCCCATCTCCGCAACGGATTTTAAAGACAAAGCCACGTCGTCGAAGCTCTCCATTTCTGCAAGCTTTCAGCCATAGGCTGGCAAAGCGATTGTGAAAAATTCAGTACGCAGGACCCCAATTGTTGTCTCTAGCTGTTTTAACTACCTACCAGGAGTTCGCTGAAGGTCAGGTTGATAAAGAGTGAGGTCAGATCGAGCTTAGTCATACTGATAAGATAAGAGAGCTTAAGGATTAGCTGCTGTGGACCAATAGCAATTGTGTATATTATTTTTTACGGGTAATGAAACATCATTGGTTGCGACCCACCTAGCATCACTCAAATCACCTGATCGATATCTTGGAATTACTAAGCAGCGGTTCTTCTGCCTTCCACGTCGAAAACATATTATCAAAACATTTCTCAAGCGTGGAATGCAACCTGCAGTTCTCAAGCAAATAGCTTCACAAATGAAAATCCCCCTATGAGTATTAGCTCTAAATCTATTCTTTGTACAAAAGATATTATGAGTATATACAATAGAATAATCGCTACTCGTTAACTACCAAGCTAGGCTGGTAGGACCCAAAATAATCTTGCCCAGCAATACCAGGAGTTCCCCAATAAGCGCCAGGCCTAAAACCCTGTACGCTTGAGGATCAGTTAAGCTCATGAGCTCCTCTGTCACTCTGCATCCCGTACTAACAGATTTACCCTCGAACCTGTCAGCAAGCCAGTTCAAGGCACTAGGAGCGCCTGAGAGAGCTAGAAGAAGGTGCCCTGCTTTCAAATCGCGATTATAATGGATATTAGCACCGTTGTCACAGTAGTACTTGATTAGGTCATCGGTATCTTCCACGGGACTGACTTCGTCTTCTTTAGATTTATAGACGAAAAGTGGGATCTGAGGGATGCTCTTCCCCATCGAGTTTTCGGTTACGATTTTCACGTATTCTGGTCTGTCGAAGATATTCGGGTCCTTGAAATACGCGAGAATATCATGGAAGGCGAAATCGACAAGGTTGGCGGCAAAGCACTGGTCTGCTACCTTCAGAAAGTCCTTTCTCCTCTCCGGCTTTAACATAACATTGATAGTCGTTTCGACCAAAGGATAGTCTCTGCTCCATCCATATATACCGGCAGGAAGCAAGCCAGCCCACATACTCTTGTTGGCAGCATGGACGACTTTAGTGATATTGGGAACTGTTCCTCCGAGAGCAGCACCAGCAATCTTTAATTCTGGAGCATAGCATGGTTGAAGTTCGGCAGCGAAGCCAGCGGCAAGACTGCCTCCAGAATACCCCCACATGGTGACAACAGCATCCTGCGCTATGCCGGTAAAGCAATTTGAGGCCAGTGCTGCGCGAATACCGTCAAGAACAGCGTACCCGGCACGGTAGTTGGCCAGCCATGAGCCTTCCAACCCTTCAAAATCAGGAGCCGTCACTACCCATCCATTCTTAAGGGCAGCGATTATCAAGAAGAGTTCAACTCGAGTGATGATTGTGCCGTGCTTGGGTTTCGCCTGATGATCCCTTTGGATGGCGTAAGAAATACCACAGTTTGGGGAGGAAGCGTCCTCTGCAACCTGGAAGGACAGAAGCTTGTTGTAGTCGGGCTTCTTAGGTATTAAAATTGTCGTAACGGCGACAGTTGCGTTACCAAAATTATCGGATGTGCGATACATGACATGATAAGCGCCACTCAATTGCACGGGAATCTTACCCAGAGTGACT